TTGTGTAATGTGCTATCCTAGCAAATAACCCTGCTGCCATGTGTACTTTTTTCCCAATGGAATCTATCTTTTTACCCTCCTTATCAGGAGGGGTAATGGAATTTTTTTAGGTCTCCTAGATTTAGCCGCTTCCGCTACCATTGTGTTAGGTGTAGTGGGACGAGTTATCCACTTTGCTGAGGAGAGGTCAACCTTGTAGAGGAAGTCTACTCTCCTAGGAATGGCTGGGGCAGCTGATGGAGATATGTCAGGTACTTTTGTTAATTTCAGTAAATAAGGCAGAGTTGGAAGTGTTGTAGCTGATGGGGTGTCTTGCTGATCTGGAGGAAACATAGGATCATCCACCGTAGAGCATGGCTTTGGAGCAGGAATATCTAGAGCTGTTATCATTCTCCCAACTAATTGAATAAATTTATTAAAGTCCTCAGGGTGGTTTACAAGTGGTTTTATTTTCTAGTCAGTAAAATGGGTTTTGAACATTTAAATACTACAAACTTACTGAAAGTGAAAAATGGAAATATGAAATTCACTCTATAAAAATGGTGTTTATGTGTGGTGATGCAATACCAGCTAAGAAGTATGGAAGATGTCTTCTAATACACTATGTAACACACTTTGTTTGTGGGTTATAAACGCCATTTCCCAATTGGTTCTGTCAGAAAGACAGTTTCCCTGTGCTGAAAGTTGTCTTATTCCACTAGTGATTGTTTTGGAAAGGGCTTTTGAGTGATGGGAGATTACCTCCCTTGCTTGTTCCATTATATTCGATGGCAGCAGTTGAGAACCTCAGACCCAGGAGACAAATTTGACCTTGAGTTTCCCCATGTTTTTGTCCCCTTTTCCATGATATCCTCAATTAGAGATTTCATAGCTTTTTTCTGCTTCATTTTAAAAAAAGAACTGAAGTACTTCTGCTAACATTTAGATACTGGCAGCAAGAAGTTTATGCTCCTTAGTTACATGTATATTTGGTTGCATCCTTTCGCCTTTGACCCCATCACCTCTCTAAAACTTCTTTGAAATTGAACTACCCTTTACCTAGTGGCTGGGAAGATTTTTCAACATAGACAAAAGGTCAAAAAAGATTTTAAGTGGGGTTTTATCTTTAAAATAAATACATGGAACTCGGCTATATTCCACTTGCTTGGCTGCCATGGAAAGGACTTCTGAAAATTTGCTACTAGCGAGTCTATAGACCTCATCACACTAGAGAGTGAATGAACTTTAAACCCGATTTCTGCCTCCTGCAAAATTCTGGGGTTTCTAGTTTAGGGAGGAGTCCTTAACAGCCTCCCTAAACTACAAACCCCAGAATTCTGCAGGGGGCAGAAATCGAATTTAAAGTGGATTCATTCTCTAGTGTGATGAAGTATATGACTTTAGGATGTATTGTAGAGCATTTTACCTGTAAATAAAAGGTTAGTACTGTATGTATAAATGTGACGGTAAAAGCACATTTTGCCTGTTGCTCTCCACAGAATGTTGAATGGGGTGAGCAGCAGAGAGAGAGAGAGATCCATTGTTAGTTATTCTGTGCCACTTAATGAAAGACAAGTTTATTATTATCATCATCATCTAGAGTCCAACCCATACTCATTTTTCTAAGGTGAATGCCAGTGTTAATTTCCACTAAGTAATACCACTATTTTCCCTGCAGAAACTTCAGTAGACCTTCCATCCAAATGCCATCTAACTCCATTGATGTTCCTCCAAACATCATCCCCACTAATCTGCCGGTGTATTCCTTTATGAAGATATGTTACCCGGTTTCTTATTCTGGGACTCAGAAGACAACATCAGGGAATTCCAGCAAAAGTGGTGATGGAGACGTTTGCAAAAAGGACAATGAAACCAAGGCTTCTGATTGTAATAGTAGAGGTGACATGCATTCAGCACTCAAAAGGAAAATGAAAAGATGAAATGGTAATACGGAGAGCACACGTCCAGTAGAAAAGAAGAATGCATCTAAGCGTGAGGAAAGCATGAAAGCTTTGCAGGAATCCTTAAAAATATATAATATTAATCCAAAACTTGACCCTATAGAACGGTTTCATTTTCTTTGGAGAATTATACTTTTTTAAACCCTGTTTTTCTTCCTCAGAATGATACTTTTGTATACTCTGATTTTCTTCCTCCACTATACAATAACCTGGATTTAAAAAGCTATCAAATATGCATGATTGGAGATAAGCTTTCAAGGAACTACTGGATGACTCAATTGATAACTAATGCCTTGTCTCATTTAAGCAAACAGACTGCACAATAGTAATTCGGAGTGCTCTTTATTAACTTGTTTTATATGAAAGTATTGGATTTAAAAATATATATAATCTTTATTGCTTTTCTTAAAAATTACAGATATACAAGTAGATAGTACTGGAAACTTTTAGACTTATAAAAGTTTCTCACTGTACGGGGAAAAAAAGAGGGGGGGAAAAAGAGGGGGAAAGAGGGGGTAGAGATAAAGATATTGTAGGAAGTGTCCAGTTTACCTTTAAGCCAGTTCGGTTTCCTGTTATCCTGGGTCTCGTTGTGTTAAGAGATGCTGGTTTCCTGATGAAAGTATTGGATTTTTAAAAAACTTCATGTGAGACTTTAAAAATTAGTAGTAAGAATTATTATTGTGTTCCTATCCAGCGAGAGTTATCATAAATGTTGTATTTTTCAATTTTAATGTAGTGTTTAGGTGTACTTAAAAACAACTTAAGCAAATAAAATATTGTCTATGGACTATATGATTTGGGCTATTTTAAATTGAAGATAGCTTGAGAAATCAAAGTCATTTTGATTTTAATTTCTTAGAATTGGTTTTAGGGAATCTAATTTGTCTTTGAACATTTATTTATTTATTATGGTCAATGATCAGCACCAAAAAATGAACAAATATCAGAACAGGAACATGGCATACATTTAGTTATTACAAAACATAGTTAAAAGCAAATTTGTCGTTGTGTATAAGCACATTGAAAATATTCTCTTTGAAATGCTAAGATTATGATATTCATGTTTAGTAGAAATGTACCTTGGATGACATGCTTGTAAAAATCAACATGACGGTTATTGTTTTCATAACGCACTGGAAAACATTCTGTGGATGTGTGTCTTAGTAAGTGAATACTAGGGATCTCATCACATTGAGGTTCTTGATGTGGGGGGTGGCAAGGAGGGGGGAAGGCAAAGCGTGGGGCAGGAGGCAAATTTGTCACCCAGCACCTTGCATTGCTCAAACTACCCATTTGTGATCCCACATTATCCCCATGATTCTCTACCTGAACAGCGGTTGTGTCCCTGTGTTCAGGTTTCCCCTTGCTACCATGCTTCTTCAATGCAGCTGGCATGGAGCCCCACCAGGAGATGTGCGTGTTGAGAGCCAAATGCACTGAAGAAGTGTCACAGGACAGGGAATTTATCTAATGTGACAAGATACAAAGTCTAACGAAAAACGAAGCCAAATCTCTTTACAACTTTTGATAAACTCATTGTGCAAAGAAACACAAATGTTAAAATATTTGGGAAAAGTCAGTTTAAATCCTGATATGAAAATTTCTGATAGCGTATCTGTAATAATAAATGTAGCCTAGTGTCTCTTCTACAACTCCAAGACAGGGAAACCTAGACAAGTCTGGATAATTAAGGGGATCTTGAGAGTGATTTATTTTAATTACAGTAATTAAAATCTGTCAATATTTCACCGACTCAGGTGACAGTCATCAAGCACTGGTTGGCAAATACCAGGTGCATCAGGGGTGGAAGGTTCCCAGATATTGTCCGAAAATATTACAGAGGGCCCAGGAGGAGATCCCTTCTGTAACATGTGGACCTACTCTACACCTTATAACAGCCATACCCAAGTTAAGTTAGCATGATTGTTCCCATTTTGCAAGTTGCGTGCAGTTCCAAAGGTAAAAGCCATTATTGAAGGTGCCTCAGGATCAATTGGCCAAATCCTGCAAGACCTAGAGGATGTTCTGATTGGAGCATTGCCATCTGGCCTAGGGGGGCAGGGGCAACTGAAAAAGCTGCTGCTGGTGTAAAAGGTACCTAAAAATAGTGAGAGTCTTAAGGATTGTAGCTTGGGCACCACCTACCTTTGAATAGCTTTTTATAACTCTTAAGATTCCTCTTGTATTTTGTTGTAGTTACATCTTTTTAAGTTATTAGTACACATTATTACTATCTGTTTAGCCAGTTGCAATTATTTAAATCTTGAATTGTAACTTATTTATCTAGAAATGTTTTGCATTATGCAACTTTTCGCTGAACTTGTGAGAAATCACTTTTAGTTGCCAGGACAGAAAAGTACCATACAAATGATAGTAATAGCAGTACTGATGCCACTTAACACTGAGAAGTGATTTTAGAAGCTTCAAGGATGATCCCAAACCTTGTTCAACCCCTATTCATAGGAAAGGTATACCTGTTGAGCATTTGTACCTCTTGTAGCTATTGAAGATAGAGGACCAGAGATATGAGGAGAAAATATGGTAAAAGGACAATAGAAATACCAAAATATTTTGGGCTGTTGGTTGTTGCATCTATTTTACTTCAGCTAATATTTCATAAAGAAAGTGTGGTGTTTAAATAATGATTTTCTTTACAACATACTTAAAAGGTCCTAATGTTTGTGCTCATACATACACAAAATGATCTAATAATATAATGTCAGGGTTCTGACAACAAAAGGAGGGGAAACTGAGGGGATGGGGGAAATACAGATGTGTATCTCTTAATTAAATTAAATGCGTTATTTCAGTTGTGGATATGAACTGAAGTCAACAGAATGATCTTCTATACAAAAATGTCCTTGATACAGAAAACCAAATGTCAGGCTCTACATTTTTTAAAAAACATACAAGTGCAAATACCTCATTTCCAAGTAAATGAGCTGACAAATCAAACTAAAGGAAACTCTTGAATTTACCATAAAAGTGTTTCATATCATCATGAAGTGAATAATAAGGTTATTTATATCAAATATCTCAAAGCAAAACACAGAAGGCTTTAAGGTAACAACTAAGTATTTATTTGACAAAAACTCAATAACACAACAGACACTACAATTACACAAATGCAGGGTGTTTCTATCAAAGAGAACTGATCCTTGACAGTCAATATTTATTATAAGTACACTGAAGTATTTACAGCAAGGAAAAGCTTCTGCGATTCTGCAAGTGATTTTACTCAGTTAAAGTTGCTAATCTGTGGTTATTTTTTTAATAAGGGTGAAACCATAATACTAAATTCTAAACCTTTGCATAATAAATTGGGTATTTCCACCATCTTCTAAAATGTGTTTTATCTCTATTTGGCTTCTAATAAAGCTGAAGAGCAAAAGAACACGGATTAAACTAGAATGAAGAAACTTTTGGCTCATGAAAATGGTTTTCCCCAACCTAGTCCCCTGCAGCTAAATTTGACAACTTCCCAGGCAGCTGTGCAGGTTAGAATTAGAGTTGTCTATCTTCATCTGAAGGCAGTGTTGAAGGCTGCCTTTAAAAAACTAACATTTTGTAGCATTAGTCCATTATCAGATATGCTACACTTTATCTTCAACTTGAAGATATCCACAAAATGGTACACATTTGAAATATTTTTTCTTGTTGAGCCTTTATCTAAAGAAGTTTACCTGCTACATTTAAAAACAGTCTTAAACACCTTCAATGCTGTATCTGATATAGCTTGTAGTATAAATGACTCAATGCTTACATAAACTGCAATTACTTTATGGGAAAAGGTTGACAGTTAATATAAAGAAAAGAAGCAGAAGAATAGCCTCAATGGTGGTAGCTTGTGAACACATGCATTATTGGTGAGGTGACACTTCAGTTTGGCTTAAAATGTATTGCTTTAGAAAGGCACAGATGTCTCCACAGGAATGTGTTTAATACCTCATCTATTTTCAGATACTAGGACAATTTTTGAGACCTAAAGTGGAGAATCATCTTTGGGCAGGGTCTAGATCCTCTTCTCAGACCTCCACTGATCAAATAACATCATGGCATCCCAAGCATCACTATCAAGAGTGACCTGAAAGGGTGTGGCACAGGTTGGGTATCACTTAATCCAAATGCTTGGGGACAAAAGTGTTCCGTATTTTAGATTATTTTGCTTATTGCTGCTAGCCATTAGTTTTTGCCTTCAAGACTACAGGGTTGGCATTTTCTCTTTCAGTTCTTTTCTGCTGACTTCCACCTTTGAGGTGGCAGATGTAGCACTACTGCTTGTTCATTTTTCAGGTCCTCAGTCTCTCTTCTGGACTTGTGAAGCTAGGAGAAGATTGAAGATCTGAAAGATGAATAAAAGCAGGAATGCTGCAGCTGCTGTCTTCAAGGTGGAAGCAGGTGGTTGCGGGCAAAAAAATAGTTTTTTTCATTCCAGGTTTCTGGATAAAAGGGGCTCAACCTGTACTTGCAGACAACAGTCTTTCCTCTTCCTCAATAGGAAGGACAAACAAAGTGTAATAAGATGGTACTTGCAAGCACTAAAGGAACAAAGGTGGAAGTAGCAACTTGAAACAAATGGTTTTTCTCCCCCTCCATTTTCCAAGGAAATTTCTGTTGTCTCTGATCAGCAAACAACAACGGATTCTTCTCTGCTACAGTAGATGAGGGTAGGCCTTGGGAAAGGTGATGTCTCCAATTTTGACAGAGGTAAATTGTGAAAAATGTACATTTTTAGGAAGGGAATAACTCCCTGGAGTGAGAGTGTAGGCAGTCTCTCCCAGAATAAATAGGCAAATTGGGAGTCTATAGCCTTTGAGCAAGCCTACTAAACAAATGAGCAATGCACTATAATGCTTAAAATTCAGTGCAGGAAGGTGCTACTGCAATGTTATCTAACAATTAACAGAATCCCGCATGAATAAGTACAAAAATAAAGGGAATTACATTTATCAAAAGATTTTTGACAAAGTTAAAATTAAAGAGTAAAAGCTGTTATCTTAAAACGAACTGTGGCTTCATACTGGTGCAGACATTTATGTTACAGCTTGCCAATCTCAGAGCCAAGCCTTCTTTCTATGTTTTCACAGACACATCTGCCTCTTGAGCCCACTTCGTGCCATGCAAATGTTTCACAGAGATTTTCTGCCACTTACCCTACACAGGAAGGGAAAGATATCATTAGCAAAGACAAATATCCACTTGATGCACCAAAATCATCACCCCCAAATATCTTTTTTTGTCTTGTTAATCTATACTGCAGCACAAACAATGAGAAACAGAAATAGATAAGCCAAACTCAAGATGCATCTCCTAATGTTCTACTCAACTGGAAGAGTAGGATTTTTAATTTCAACTTGGCAGGTCTGCAAGTAACCATATCCTCATTTTGCAAGATTTTTTGTTAAGTTGTTACTTCATCACACTACAGAATAAATCCACTAAACCACAAACCCCAGAATTCTGCAGGAGGCAGAAACCGGATTTTAAGTGGATTTTTTTCCTCTAGTGTGATTACGTAGTTGGTTTCCTTGTGAAAGTCACCCACTGAAGTATAAACAGATTTACCAGAAAAGGATTCAGGGGAAGTAATTCACACACATCTAGACCTTAAGTGTAAAGGTCTGAAAAATCTCTGGACACCTTACACCTGACTCCTCATAATACCAATATTTTTGCTGCCAATACATACAGAAAATGATGTTCTGATATTCATAAATATTTTCTTTTCCTATATGCTTCTAAGAAGGACATTAATGATTACATCAGCATATTTGGCCAAATGTTGCTGCCTTTGTATTAGATAGAAGGCATGATAATAAAATGTCGAAAATATTATATTAGGCCTAACTCAAACTTAGCACAACAAAATCACATCACCCAGAAATGAAACAGACACATTTTACGTAGCAACACCACAACAGTACTAATCTAAGAACTTCCAGCAAGGCAAAGAAGTGTAAATGATGCCTATATTTGTGTGCTGTGAACAGAAAACTAGACATAACTAGATGAAGAATGTTTTTCATATCTTTTATAGAACAGAAACCTTTGTTCATGTCTTCTGGTTGCCATCGTCTTCATTTGAGCGGCACCTATAACACAAAGAATAAGTAAACAAGCAACTTGGTTTTTGTGAGATTAAAAATTCTGTAGCCATAAGGCTGACTGCTGCTGCTACTGGAGTTGGTATGATCAACTCTTTTCAAATTTTGTACAGAGGGGTACGAAACAATCGTGGAGGAAATAGAATTTGTATGACATCTGTGTTAAACTGCCACCAGATGTGCAAGAGAGGCTGGAGTTGTGTTGCCAAAGCAATGCGGCACATTACTTTGTGTGCAAATAACTATCAAGTAATCTACGTCTTCAGTGAGAGTGAAAGCTGCATTCTGTCTCCTGCACGAACAAGAAATATTTTAAGTAAGTTGACAAAAATATACATTTACTTCTGTTCAAATTAACTTAAGCTGTAGTGGAGTCAGGGTAGAGGCTCAAAACAGATAGTATATCACGTGCCACCTTGTTCACTCATTATTTTTAGAATGGTGGGGAGAAAATTCATTGTGACCGCCCCGCAGACAAGAAGCATCATGGAAATATCACATTGAATGTGACGATGCCTAGGTAGGTCCTTAAAAATCCTATTTTAAAAACTTTTTATATGAAACATTTAGATTTGGGGTGCCTTCATAATCCTGTTCAGCATACATGAAAAAAAAATATTGAAGAATATGATACTATGTGAACTGCTTATTGAACAAGACCTGAACTGGCAAATATCAATTGATTTAGCTGAGTATCTTCACGATGAACAACGAACTATTGTTTAACTGGTTGCTAAATGTTTATCTACACATGCTGTCAGAAATAACCTTGTTAGGAAGGTGAAGTTGGTGTCTCAGCAAACCAGACCCCCTGGAGTAGGCGTTGAGTGGCCTGTGACTTGCCTTCCTTTGTCTCTCTCAGCACCATCAAAAAGGAAAAGTAAGAAAAACAGCACAAACATTAGTTAAAACCTGCATCCAATCCAGTAACACACAGGAAAACATTTCATTACAGTGAAAGTAGATAGTATCTGTGTTGAAACTCACATCCTGCACATATGTATAGGTATAGTCCTCATCAAGGAAACAGATAGGCAGGTGAGTTAGCTGGCAAGGAAAGCCCTCCCCCCCACTGACCTCTTTGCCTGCTTTTTCCTTCTCTCTTTCTCTTTTGCTATCTCCCGTTTATTAGACTGATACTTCTCAGGGACATGCCCTCTTTTATTCAAGTTTCAGCCATACAGCAAGCCCCCTGAGTCCTCCATTTTGTTCTTCTCCTGGGAGTATGGCAAGAAAAGATGTCTCCAAAGAGCTTGATAGTTAGAAAGTTAGGCCCTTTCCCATATACAAATGTAGTTCTTTCAATTATGTTTTTTTTGTAACTTTTAATGCTTGACTCTGCTCCTGTAATTGCTTAAACTTGTTTGCTCTACTGCTAACTCAAGAAGCTTCTGATAGCTAAAACTGCAATTACTAACTTACATTTTTTAATCTTTTTTTCCTTTTTGAAATTATCCAAAAATCTGCAGGATGCTTGAGGATGGGAACAGTATTTATAATGTAAAAGCTGACAACTAATGTCTAGTATTGCATTCAAATGTTCACATTTATTCAGTAACTGCTACAATTAAGGGGCTATCAAAATAAAAAGATTTCTTACAGATACCTGAGTCAGCCACACTGGAAACAAAAATATTTTAAAAATGGCTACCAATGCCTTGTTCACAAAAGACTTTTATTATCTAATGATGCATACTGAAAACATACAGAAATCTGCATGGTCCACTTTACATGCAGCAAAACAATCTTCACTTTACAATAAGTGAAAGTCAACTGTTTTTATGCAAGAGACAACACTTTAAAGTCACATTTCTTAAAGAAAGCTTCATTTACAAAAGAAATAAAAGGTAAAGAAGCAATTACCGCTTTTAAAAAGCAGCTGCTTTGCTCAAGAGTGGAAGGTTTATGCCTGTATTGAAAGACAACATGATCACAAAGAATGAAAACAATGAACAAACAAAAAACACCTGCAGCATAAAGCAGTACACTTTCAAATGACATACAAATAGTTAAAAATTTCATTATGGTGTTTTCTATCTGGTCATGAGAAAGGACGTTCTTTTAGAACCAAAGCTGAACATTTGTTAGTAAATGGAGTTCTCTCATGTCTGAACTGTCTTTCACAAAAGGTATAAAGTCTATATAGCAAGTTGATGTTTTTAAAGAAACAAAAGTAATAAACAGTACACTGAAGGCGCTCTCTCCATCAAGTGCACATTCCCCCATTTTATTCTTTGAATGTGATGATCAAACAGAAGTTGGAATTATGCCACAGTTGTAATGCCAGAAAACAAAAACAAGGTCATTTATAAAACATGCAGGGAATTCTGCTACAAAGCCCTTATTTGTCAGTTGTTCCAGTACAATTAACATCTTAAACACCAGCGATGTTGATGGTTTAGCTTACCTTCAGTGTACTGAAAGTTGTACGCAACCTGCTTTAAAAGAGGAGGCCATCCCTGCGGGGCAGGCGCAAGAAGGAACAGGCCCCCTTCGGCACTGACTACACACCAAGGGCATGCTGCTGTGGCCTGCACGCACACACCTAGGAAAACGCAATATAAACAGCATTTACGCTGGCCATTTTTCAGAGACCCAAATGAAGCCAATTCTGCTAAAAACCACAATCAACCACCCGGTCTTAACTGTTTTTTGCTAACAGTCGCTTTGTTTATATGTATTTGAGAGAGGCAGGGAGGGAAGGAAGGAAAGGACAGTGTGCATGTGCATCTGTATTTTTGATTATGCCTATGTATTTTTTTTATATATATATGTATATATATTATATTATAGAACTGCAACCATATACATTAGCACTGTATTTCTGTGCAGTTGTGGCAATTAAAACAGTTCTACAGTGAAAAAGGTAAACACAAGAGCCAGTATTCTAACATTTCTAAAAGAAATATCCGACTTCGTGTTAACTCACATATCACTCTTCCTCAACTTCGCCAGGAAATTATTTATATGTTATATGTACACTTATCAACTGCTGTGAAATCTCATCAGTCTTTGTATATTAACTATTCAAACCCTTTGAATATCTTCACTGGATTTAAATTTTCTCCTGGATGAAGGCATGTTGCAGTGCCTGGTTGATACTAATCCGCTTTGCAGGATCCAACATGAGGATCTGGTCCAACAAGTCCTTCAGCTGGTGAACCTTTTTGCGCTGGTCTTCGGGAAGACGTTGGCACCCAATCAAATCTGCTAGCAGGTCCTTTGTTGGGTTAATGGTGCTCATGACAGTGACTTTTTCCTAAACAATACAATAAAAAATGAGGTCATTCATTATTCGCTTTCAAAGAAAGCAATGACAGAAATAGTAAAAAAAATAGACATTCCAATTAATATCAGCATTTAATAAAATATATAACAGACATTCATTTGGCTCTAGAATAGAGTATGTCACATGAAAATAATGAGATTAAAGAACTACCAATCTTTCACAAGCTTTAGACATGTCAAGAAGGCAAAACTTAACTGAACAAATCAAAGAAAGGAATAAAGGTTGGGCAATTTCAGTTTCAAAAATGGTATTGTATACCTCCAAATGAAGCATCGCAGTAGTACAGTTCAGACTTACCCTTTCGGTGACTTTATCTACCTCTATGTACATGAAGTTAAGGTTTTGATCGAAGTGCTGATCTTTGAAAACACCTTTTCGGATCATCTGAGGGAAGGGAAAACATAGCAAATTAAAAATATTTAAAGATTCAAAATATAAGCAGTAATCCCAAAAAGGAGATTTGTTTCCATTATGTAGCCATTTAAAAAAAAAAAATCAAACTTTTTTATTTATAGGGGTGTTTCAAAAAATAAAATAATTAAATTACTTTATTCCTGAGACATATGAACTTTTCAAATACAGTGATACCTTAAGTTAAGAGTTTAATTTGTTCCATGACTGAGCTCTTATCTCAAAGCACTCTTATCTCAAAGCAAATTTTCCCAATGAAATTCTATTAATCTGTTCCAGCCCCCCCCCCAAAACCCTCCTTTTTTGTTATGTGTTTTTAAATAAGAAAATATATTTTATAAATAATAAATAATGTATAAATGCACATTCACATGGAACAATAAAAAAATATCAACTTTAAAATGATAGAAGCACAAAATTGTGGCACAAAAACAAAGCAAAGAGGCAGAAGCATTGTTTTCTTCATACTATACTCATTCCAGCCTCCCTATCTTGCTCTCTCTCTGCATGAAGCATAACATACCAGGAATAAACACCACACAAAATCAACTAACCCAAAGTTCCTCAAAGCGGACAAGAGCAAAACAGACAGCAATCTCCCAAAGCAGACAAGGGCACGAAGCACAGAGGCAGCTCCCTTGAAGCCCTAGAGCCCTGTATTCCGGCATAACTGCTCCCTCTGGAGCTAGCTGTTAACTCAAAATGCCACTCATATGTCAAAGCAAAACCGGGATGAGCGATGACTCTTAACTCAAAACACTTATAAGTTGGGACTCTCTTAAGTCGAGGTTCCACTGTATGTCATACTCAGTTCACCGACAACAGTTCCAAGGAAACTTGGAATAAAATGGTAGATTTTCACTGTGTCCCTCTGTATAAATTAAAATATATGACAATTGACTACCAACTTACCATCCAGAAATTTACATCACAATCCAATTTAAGATGCTGGTTGGTAAAGTGACATCCAAGCAAAATTCCCAGTTTTGGGCATGACGGGGAACTGCAGTTTAAATTAACAAGGTAAACAATTTGGTGATCAGCTGGTGGGAAGGAGACAATGAACCAAGGGAGGAAGTGTGAACAAGCAATGAAATACCAAGCCATGAATTCCTTCAATACCAAGACAATTTGGAGACACTGGTACATTTTTATAAGAACTGTATTTCTTTACCTTGTTTGGCATCTTTCCTTTGAGGTCCATTGCAAGTTTCAACATATGGTTATTGGTTTTCCCAGGAAACAATATTTTTCCTGTGTAAAGTTCATATAAGGTACAGCCTACAGACCACATATCTATACCGTAGTCATAGATTTTGCCTATAACTGAAGGAAAACAGTTTTAGAGTTAATCATACAAAATATCACACAGAAATTAAGGTCTCTCACTTCTCTTGAATCAGCCAGAGAATGAACATATTGTGTTTATCCTGTGCCTATCTATTCAAAAAAGGCAACTCTCCTTCTGGTCTTCAACAATCTTTTAGTGAATTAGGCATTTTCCAATAACTTACATCATATTGCTCACATTTGTTGTGTCAAATGGTGGATGAAAAGAGAATTGAAAAAAGGTCCAACAGAAATTATGCAACACGGTGGTATCTCACTCACAGCCCACTACAAGACACTATTTCAAACAGCCACTTCTAAACTGCTGTTCAGTTAGGATTTCTGCAACTTAATCTTGGAAAACTATGATTCACATACATTAATGTCATACAGAAAGTGCCATAGGAATTTGTGGATAGCACTTCAAGTCCCTCTTAACTACACCCTCCCTTCACATTCCAGCTTCCATATACCTTCCTCCAATGAAATTTAACTACACAACAGAAAACTAAATACAAATTTCCACACATCTCATTATTCATACATGTGTAAATTATATCAAGTATTAACTGCAATATTTTAGGATCTCAAAATAGATTAACTTACTGATTTCAGGAGCACGATAAAATCGACTGACAAGATATGGCGTAATGTCATTATCAGCAACATGGGACGCTGATCCAAAGTCACAAAGCTTTAAAATGGTTTTAGACTCATTCACCTAAAAAGCAGGAAAGCTGTAGTTAAACCTTCTAGAGGGCAATAAGCTGCACTGTTTCAGAGTGCATATGATACATATGACATACAGCATATTGAATGTCCTAAGTAGTGTATTATTCAACTTCACTATGTTCATGGAGCACACTATTTGGAGGAAAGCAGAATCAGGTTTAATCTATTAGAGGTCTTCCCATATACTAAATATCTCTTTAAATTATAAACACCAAAACCATTGTCTCAAAAACTGAATGACCACTTCCAAGACATGTATACTGTTCTGTTTTTAAAAAGTTATTCTGTAGTAAGACTGACATCTATTGAGAACGAATGGAATTCTTTTTCGTGGTTATTCTTATCACTAATGAGGAAATACACAACAATTCAAACTGTTATAGCCAGTAATCAAGCTACTTACTGAGTTGCTGTAAGTTTTTCAGGCAATATGGCCATGTTCAAGAAGCATTCTCTACTGACGTTTGAGGATGCTTGCCATAGATGTAAGCGAAACGTCAGGAGAGAGTGCTTCTGGAACATGGCCAAACAGCTCAAAAAACTTACAGCAACCCAATGATTCTGACCATGTATCATACAAAAACAACCATTACCTTAGATTGATGCCAAGTCTATACAAGTGTCTAAACATACAATTAACACTGTCTTTTTAGGGTAACACTGTGTTGCAGATTTGTCTCATTCAACCAAAATATAAAAATGAAGCTACTATCATATGTACCATGTAGGGAACGGGAAAAGAAGGTTGAAGCTTTTCTACAAGGAGCGATGTTCATTTTAATAAGGAAAAGGTTTCAATTGTTCACCTGACCACTCTACAATAAGGGTAGGGAATCTGTGGCCGTCTATGTTCTAGACTACAACAGCCATCAGTTGCAGTCCAATCTTGGATTATAGATATTACTATGCCGTTTTATATGAAGAATCCATGTATTTTGATAACCACACGGACATCCTGGAACCAAACCTCAGCGAATACTGAGGGCCCACTATTGTATTTTTGTATCTTAAAGGTTTTTGGACATAGCTATTTGCCAATGATTACTTACTAAAATATTGTCTGGTTTGATATCAGCATGCAGTATGTTGCATCTTTTAAGAAGTTTGAGTGCCAGGAACAACTGCTGACTGTAGGATCGTACAGCCTTTATGTGAAGACCAACATCTTTTCCGTACTTCTTTAATACCTCGCGTAAATTCATACTTGAAGAGAAAACAGAAACATAAAGAAAGAAATCGGGGGGGGGGGGGGGGGGAGAAAAATAAATAAGAATTAACTAAATGAAATCAGAGATTTTTTCACTAATGGAAACTATTTCTGCTGATTTTTGTTCCAGCATATCATTCCAGACTAGACAGATGAACAGTGAGCACTACTTAAGCAAAGGAAGGACCATGAGTACACACACCTCTTTCTATTCATTCCATCCCCTACCCACTATGTGTTCATCCAAAAAATCTTACAAGGAAGGCAGGTGAATAATGTGACAATCCTCTACGCCCCAGAAATTTTGTGCAACCACCAGTAGTTCTCAATCTGTGGGTCCCCAGGTGTTTTGGCCTACAACTCCCAGGAAGCCCAGCCAGTTTACCAGCTGTTAGGATTTCTGGGAATTGAAGGCCAAAACATTTGGGGACCCACAGGTTGAGAACCACTGCACTACACCTTAGCAAGTGCAAAGGAACAGCAATGTCTGAAACATCCAGACTATGTGTTATTTTGAAAAGAAAGAAAGAAAGCAATAAGATTAACAAAGAGACTTTGAAAAATACCTTTTAAAGAAAACTTAAATCTATTTTTGAAACCTACCTGAGTGGTTCAAATACAAGACAGAGATGCTGCTTGTGATAAAAATGGCGAAACAATCGAAGACAATGAAACTTGTCATCAGGATCTGCATCATTAAGCTTCTTCAAAAATTCCAATTCTTTTAAGCCCGTTTTTTGCCTGAAAAGAGATCCATGTAATATGATAATGAGTACATAAAAAAGCAGTATTTAAACCGTGGGTACATGACAATATAAAGTAGCACAAATAATAAAAAACATTTTTTCTAGTCACTGGAAGGTGGCAAATTAGAGAGAGCCACAAAGAAGTTCACTATTATTATGTAAAGATATTTTTAAAAATCTCACTTACATAAGCTCGTTGTTTCTTATAATTTTGACAGCCACTTCTTGGTTTGCTCTTGCCATATCTCTGGCCCTCACTACATTACTGAAAACTCCTTGGCCTGTGTAGCCATATACATTATAACGTTTATCTAGGACTTCACCAATGTTAACACCTAAAGGAAATGAAACATATGTAGTAAGATACAAGTTACTGTTAAACAAATTATCTATGCACACTCTTAAAACATCTTAAGACAGTACAAGGAAGGGCAAGAAAGATGATATCCCATATAATTACACAAAATGCAAACAAACTATATACATTAGCAATTGTGTTAAACTATATTCCAGTTCAGCAATATTCTGTCAAGGGTAATCTCATAAGTAGAACTTTCAATATTATTTCTTAATATTGCAATGGTCACCATATAAAAATTGGTTTATGTGAACAATAGCACTCCCGCCCCAACAGTTTCTAGGAAGAGATGCTGAGATGATGTCCTTTCTCCCCTACTGCTTTTGTCTTAGCTGTAATGGAATAGCCTATTTGAACATAAAATTTTCCAAAACCATGAGAAACAGAACTTTCCAAAACACTGTCAAAGGCAAAACATATCTGACCAGGCCCATTCTAGGATGCTACAAGATGAAGTTACAGAAATGGCTCATCCTGCTCAGTTTTTACACATAAGATTCGGGAAAGCCACCAAGACAACTATGCCTACAGGCAGGCATAAGCAGAGATTAAGAAACAGTGCTTATTGAATCATGCTCCCAAGAAACTGGGTACTAAGAGAAAAATTGTCTCTTGAAGTTGGCCCTTATTTTACTAAGACAATGCTGCTATTCATATATTATACTCTACATAAGTATGCAATTTCTCAAAATGAAAAGTCCAAAAATTAATTTATACAATGTACAGAAAGTATAGCACTCATCATACTCACGATAATACCCCTCTGCATCTGTCCAATTATCCCTGAGATTGGGGTTTTCTTTGAAATCTTTTCCAATGCCAGCAGCTCTAAGGCGTGCACTCTAAAAGAAAGCCAAACAAATCCAACCTTTTTGTTTCTGTTCTCCATACCTGAATTATTTTCTATATTCTTGAGGAATGAATTTGCCTTTAAATCTAGTTTTACAAAGGGATATATTTTTATGACAAAGAATTTAATGATATTACTGTACTAAAAATATTACGCAAATCTTTACTGCCACATAAATGTCTTTTACATTCCCAACTGTGATTTTGTGCAATGGAAACAGTGTGATACAACTGGAGAGCAACCATTCTCTGAACTTCAAAGTCTACTCCAAATGCTTGCATAAAGCTGATGAATTTTTATCCAAGGCAATTTGAATTTTATTTAGTACAAGATAATAAGAAAAATTGTCAAAGAATCATACTTCTTTACTGATTTTTTTTTTTTTACAATAGGGATCAGAACATCTGAAACACTGATATGCAATGTTATAAAATTACTTACATCAAAATATGCAGCAAACATATCATCTGATTCTGTAAACATATCAGGAGCGGTGATTTTCTTCTGAGATGACCCTGGAAAGCCAAAAATAATTTATATTATTTTAAAAATAATTATAATAATATACTACCGTTTTAGGAATCCTCTGAAGAAGAAACTGCACAAAAAAAGAATCAATCAAGGTTTTACCTGGCGCCAAAGTGAAGCCCAACACAGCACCAGGTTAATCTCCTCATTAGACTGAAGAATGAGAAACTTCTAGAACAAGGGTGCCCTCTCTAAAGGACTGTCTGTTGGTGATCAGCAATTATTTTCTTCCAAGATGTCAAAGACTGGCACCATATTTGTACCCACCGTGTATAATTTCTTTCTTGGAAATTTTCCAAGGACCAGCAGCTCAAGGATGTGCATCAGTCCAAAAACTACCACACTAAGTAGCAATCGTCCCTATCCACTTAAACCTATGATGGTGGCAGTACCAAAGAAGGAACTAAGGCAGATTTGAAGATACAGAAAATAATGTATGAGAATGGATCTTTAAACTACTTGTTTCCAAGCTGTTTAAGCTTTTAAAATTTAAACCCAATGAAGCTGTTCAAAAAATATACCAAAATTATCCTAGCATCTAGTGCTAGGCATAAAGAAAGTGGGAGGGCAGTTATCTTCCCTTCCTACTTCAATCCCACATTCACCCTCAAAACCTGTTCCAATAAAGGAAATCATCAAAAGATATGTTTTAAACAGTTCTAGCAGAGGGAAGAGAAAAAGTCCCATCATGCTGATGCTGCATTGTATGTCAATGCATACAATGTGCACTTGCTTTCTGCTGATACAACATGTAGATACCAAAGTCACATCGTCTATAACTGAACTAGGCTTCTTTAAGTGAAGAAACATGTGTTTTCATATATCCTAGAAATGACACAATCTCTTAATCATAGCTACCATGATATCATACTTGATCTCCTTTATATTTTAAGGAGAATTTAGTCTTTCAGGTATTACACAGAAATACTTCTGAGTCTTACCATTATTTTGCTCAACTGTCATAAGGTTGTGCTTAGCCTTCACTGAGGCCTCAAATGTGTCCATATTTTCTCGCTCATACTCTTTCACATCAGCAGCAACTCGTTCGAGAATATCATCTGGTGAGTTTGAGCGACTGCGAGTACTGCTCTGAGGACTGCTTGGTTCAGATGGCATGGACATGTTACTATCTTCAGTTACATACTTGTATTTCTGTAGAGAAATCATCATAATTTAAGATAGTGACAAACTATAATCTAATTTAGATATAGTATTGAGAGAAACTAAATTGAGCATTAAGATGACATCCACAAGATGTTAAGTCCTGTTCACTCCCCCCTACTACAGTCCCATGTTACATCCCAGTTCCCCAAGTTAAGATTTTTATAGGCAGTAAGTCAGAAAAGCACTCACTATATCAACCAACTTTTGTTGGGGAGTAATTTTCAAAAAACAAAAAGCATTCAAAATAGGTAAAATAGCAACAACATCATTAGCAACATCATAGCAGATCAGAAGCTTCTAGTGCCAGTAGTAGAGCGACTGAAATGAAGCACTTCAGGAACAGAGTCATAAAGTTAAAAAAAATTAGTCAAATAACTACATTACTAAATAGGACTTTGGATAACAATGCTAACAGCAATGGTATTGTTTTATGTGATTTAAATGTCTTAATATATGCATTTTATAATTCTATTTAAAATGTTTGTTTTAGCTGCACTTTGTTCTGAAGGAATCAAATGGTTGCCTGACTGTAAAGCCACCTTGTCCCCTTTGGGTTGTAGAAAGGTGGGGTAGAAATGTCTTAAATAAATAAATATGTATCTAATTAACTCACAATAGGCTTCTGGTCACTCCCCATGTTCACAGAAGAGCAAAATAGAGGACTCAGGGACTGGCCATGAGCTTGGAAAAAGAGGCATGTCCCTGAGAAGTATCAGTAACAAGCAAGGAGATAGGAGAGAATAGAGTGACAGAGAGGCCAATGAGGGAAGGGTTTTTCCCTACCAGCTAACTCATTTGCCTATCTATATGCTTGATGAGGACTGCAAACGTGTAGATGATGTGGCTGACTTCCAACTACTTTCACTCAGCAGTTCCAAATTCAACTGTTTCTTTCCTTAACAAAATAAGCCAGAAGGTTACAGCTCCATGACCATACACATAGATGGATTGGAATTTCCTGTGTGGGCTATTATTTCAATATAACCAAACCCTGTTCTGTTGTTTCTAGTCTTTCAATAAAAGCAGAGGCTCTATGGTGGCAACCAGGTATGCCAGAAAGAATGGAATTTGAAATTGTGAGGATATTTGAATGTGTAACCATATATTGTGACTTCTTTGAGTTATAACATTCTACACTTATTCCAGCAATTTAATTAGAACGTGGCATTGCAGGCTGAGTTCAGCTTTTCCTGTTAACATGCTATTTTAAAGATACTCACACCTTTCCATACTATATCTCTCTTTCTAACCACAACTGAAAAGTAAACGACTTACAACTACCCAAAGACCCATTCCTCTGAACACTAATTATCCATTTAAAACAACCAATATTTTAAAAGTTGACAAAATATTTATCTTGTGCCATAACCTTAGAGAACCTTTGAAGTTTTAAAAAAATACATTAGCTCATTAGTGCTTAGCTTTTTTTGGATCAGACTACATTGAGAATGTGATAAAAGCTCCCCAGGCAAAAATTACTTAACCACAATTTTCACAGCAGCAGGAAGGAAATTTAAATTTTCTTCCCTTTGAAATCAGCTTATGGACCCTCTCAAGGCTTATGAACTGCTGCATTATGATTATTACCCTTGATAAGTCTATTAGCATGTCATTCTGGTAAGCATAATCACATACCTGTACAATTGCTTGCCTCTGTAATCTTCTCTGTTCTATGAGAGCCTCTTCATCTTCTTCTTCAACATCATAGTCTTCAAGGCTATTAGAAAATGTAACTATCACTCAACACCTGATATTGATGTAACTCAATACAGAAAGTACTGAAGGAATACTGAAAAATGTACTCCTTAGAATCTTAAAACACAACAAGCAAAGACAGAAGGGACTGTGAAAATATCACGTGGATTCAAGGATTACGTTATTTTTCCTCAAATAGCTGTGTCTCATAATAAATGGCTCAGAACTGAAAATTAGCTAATGTGTTTGAACTCCCTATTAATTTTCAAGACTGCCCACCATGTTGAAAATACTGCCCAACTTGTATGTTATGAAGTATCAAAATGTCATTCTTACTTTTCATCTGATGAAGATTCCTGCTCAACTTTCATTCCTTCAGAAAGGCTTCCTTTAAATTTATCTTCTATTTTGCTCCTACTTCGACGTCTGTGGCCACCCCGTGACCTGGATCTCCTTCTAAGGCGAGATCTACTTCGTCGATATCTATCCCTGAAAATGGGGAAAATGTTTTTAAACTGTAAGAAGAACAAGTACACTTTTAAATTAATAAGTATCAATTCTTTTGCATTGTCATAATCAAGATTTTGATTTTAAAATTCAAATAATATTCATCCAAAAGTAAACCATGATTATTTTTAGAGACCGGGGAAAATATATTAGTGACAGTACAGTGCAGTACAATTACAGGCATTCTCCAAAAACAAGATCAATTCTGTAAATTTGTTCTTAATATGAATTTGTATGTCAGTTGGAACAGGTACATTTTTAAGTCTAACTCCAGACACACAGACACACACACACACACTTTGGGGAGCATAGGGAATGCTTAACACCACTGTGATATTTGTGTTGTTAACTTGCCCCTGTTCAGAAGATTTCATCTAACTTTGTGTCCCTATGATAATTGGATTTTGAAAAATGTTCTGGAAAGAAGGATTAATGATGAAGCTTCAGGTGAGACATCTTTTCCCTATGATAACACTTCCAGGAGTGAATTTCCCTTCCTAGGGCTAGATTTCACCCCTATTCTTAACTATGAGTCATTTGTAAGCAGATGTTTGTAACTTGGGGGCTGCCTGTACTAAGATTTTGAACATGATGTTGTGCTTGTACTTGCTAAGATTTTTTTGGACAAAAACCAAAAAGATATAGTATCATTTTACACAAATCAACATAGCTTTGGAACTGGCTGAACATATAATGGAAAAGGAAGATCATTAAAAATAACTAATGTTGTTGTGTGCTTTCAAGTTATTTCCAACTTATGGCAAACCTACAGCAAACTTATCATGAAGTCTTCTTGGAAAATTAGTCCATAGTGGTTTTGTCTTGTCTTTCTCTGAGGCTGAGTAAGAGTAATTTGTCCAGGTTACCCAATGGGTTTCCATGGCTGAGCAGGGGTATGACCCTGTTCTCCAGTCATATTCCAATGCTCAAACCACTACAAACTGACTCTCGAAAACTCAAAATAAGAAACAGCTACTGTAAATTTACACACAATGTTTGCTTCTACTACAAACTCTACAGTGCACACATACCTTCTACGGGGAGATCTACTCCTCCTTCTTGGAGACCGACTACGACGTAAAGGTGAGCGAGACCTTCGTCGAATGGGAGATCTGGATCTTCTTCTCGATGGGGACCATCTAGGTGGACTTGCATCTTTTGAGCGCTCACTCCTAGAGAGAATATCATCTCTTGTTCGTGTTCTTGAAGGTAGAAAAAGAAAAGATATAAAGCTGGAAGCTTATACAAAACAATAAACATATCCTTTTAATGTTCAAAACTGATATGTGAAGAAAAATGTACCACAAAACGCTACAAAACAGAAGAATGCTACTGCCTGCTGATTAGTAAAAGCTACTGAAGCTTTTCCCAAGATGGTGGCCGGCGTCCCTTTTAAAATTCCCACTGTCATCATCCCTAAGCAGAACATGAGGACAGCAACAGGGGGTGCAGTGATGCTACAGAATCAATGCTACTTTCAGCTGTCATAACATAATGATATGAAACTGGAAGGATATTTTGCTTAAAAAGTGATTTACCACTACACTGTAATGCAATTCATACAGAATACTGTAAATGAGATACTTAGGTACAATAAACATTATCGTTTTAATGCTTTTAATCCTACCCTGCAAGATAGGCTGAGAGCATATCATACAAGACTGCTGCTGTAGAATTCACTAATACTCCTTCTGCAGGTAGGATCATTGTATTCAAGTTTTTCCATGTTCGTACAAACATGGTCAACTCACACTAGTCATACACAGAAAGAAAGATAATCAGATTCTGGGTGATCCTGTGTAAGTAGTGTCTTTCCTTCTCTGGAGATTTTTAAACAGAAGCTGGATGACCATGTTTTGGGTGCACTTTGATTGCGTATTCCTGCATGGAACTTGGACAGGATAGCTTTGTGATTACTCATAACACTTTGATCTTTAAAAATCCACCCCAAACAACCCCATAATAACTGAATGCTACAGTATATTGTAATACTGGGATGACATTTAACAGTTGAGTAGGAAATAATGGAATTGAATCAGAAGGTGTCAGGTTAACTGTAGTGTGTGACTACTATATGGTCTCCCCCAGGCAGCAGACAAGAGAGGCTTCCTAGCTATCACACCTTCACCCCTCTGAACTATGGGGGCTTCTCCAAGAGGCACGTGTGCAGGCAGGAGTTAGACTATTATGTGTGGAATCCTTAAAGTCCCTCAAAGGGAGAGATGTAACTATTATGTATCTTCACCTCCATCAGAGGCTGAGAAAATATGACTTTCCCAATGTAACCCAATGGGCTTTTATAGAAATTTGAATCCCTAGCTCTTGTCATAAGTAGAGATGGGAAGGCCTGGGAAAAAGAAAAAAAAATAGGGGGGAACCAGGTTTTTTTTTCTTTCAATTTTCTCCATTTTTTTCAGACCTTCCCAGCTCTAGTCATAAGTACTACAGTAATTAATTTATATGAAGAAAAAAACTGTTCATAATAAAAATAGGACCATTAGGGAGACAATTTGAAAATTATGCCATACGTCTTCAGGAAGCAATAAGGATTAGGAAATGCAACCCTAGGTCTACCTCTACCCTATCATCTTACTACTAAAAACACTAACATATTGATATAAAGCATATCTATAATGACTGTGATCCAGAATTACTGTATTTATAATACATTTAATGATACCATTAGAACTTATTTTAGTCAACAGGAGTTTAAGGGATACCAGGGATCTACAATAAGGTAAGAAACAATAACCTGTGAAACCCTAGGGAACCATTCCCAAGTCAGCTGGTAAAATGTTCTGGCTCACTATTAAGCTGCTTTCTATGTTCCTATGAACAACTGCATATAATATTATTGACAGAACTGTAAAATGAGGGGCAAACAAAGAAAATAAAATACATTGCTCTTATAATATTTTTTTCAGTGAATTTTTATAATGAAATTATTATTTGTAGTTTAGTGAAGCACCACCTCTTTGGAAGAGAATCATAATCATTGAGTTGGAAGAGACCTCGTGGGCCATCCAATCCAACCCCGTCAAGAAGCAGGAAAATCACATTCAAAGCACCCCTTACAGATGGCCATCCAGCCTCCTCTTAAAAGCCTCCAAAGGAATGGCCTCCACCATACTCCAAGGCAGAGTTCGTCTGCTAAACACAGCTCTCACAAAGTTGAATACCTTGCAAAACTACAACTTCTATGATCCCACAACATTAAGTCTTAGCAGTTATCATACTGTGCTTCTACTTGCATCACTTTCTTCATCATTATATTCCCTGAATCAAATCCAGACCTCCCTCCACAAATGAAGTACTTTCCCATCAAATGAAGGCTCCAAGAAGGGTTGATTCTACATTCTGTTTCCAGTATAATATCCTACACTGCTCTGGATCTTTCTACAACCCTACAGAAAGGATTTGAGGGTGTGGGGATTACAAAAGAAGGTTAACCCATTCCCAGCATCAGAGAAATACAAATTCAAGCCATTGTCTTATTGGCTAAAATTACCTGGGAGAAGAAAACCGTCTCCTTTCAGACTCTCTTCTTTTTCGCTCTAATGATCTGCTTTTTGCTCTCCTACTGGGAGACCGATTTCGGGATGGCGATTTACTCTGTTTAGATCTGCGATCATTCAGGAGAGGTGATCTGCTACGTCTTAGCTTATCCCGTGGTTTTGGAGACAAACTTCTTCCTTTTGGGCTACGACCAGGTCTACGACTGGGAGACCTGTTTTCTTTCCCTGATGATGCATCTTTAGAAGGAGATTTAGTGGGCTTTTTATCTCTTTCAGTCTCTGATCTTCTAGATTTTCGCTCTTTAGATCTTGATCTTCTGTCTTTGGATTTGCTCCTTTGCTCTACTGGGGATTTAGATTTTTTGCCACGATCTTTGCTTTTACTTTCAATAACAACTGGAGATTTTTTACGCTCTCTTGACTTAATCTTTTCTTCTGCTTTGCTCTTATCTTCTGGAGATTTCGACTTCCTATTTTTCTCTTGAGAACGTCTTCTAAGGGTTGGAGATTTTGACTTTCCTACTTGGTCTTGAGACTTGGTTCTTTTTGATGGACTTTTTGATTTTTTTCTCTCTTTTGATTTACTTCTAGCTGTTCTTTCCTTTATACCATCAGCTCCTAATTTGCTCTTCTTTTTATCAGATCTGTGTCGAGTCCGTTCTTTTGATCTGCTCTTACTCTGCTTCTTTGAACTAGATTTATTGTCCACAATCTCTAGTTTCGCCTTAATAGAAGATGCTTTAGTTGAAGATCTAGTCCCATTTCTCATCTTATCATTGATTTCTCCCTCTTCTTCAGAACCTGACTCATAACCCTGCAAAATCAATCCCATGCCAGATTGAACTTTTCCTTCCATTAGCTCATTTTCAAGTTCAGCTTTAAGTAATGCTCTTTGTTTTTCTAAATCTTCCAGGGGCGCTAAGAAATCAATTTTAGTTCTTTTTGCTGGCCCATCTTCCTTATCAGAAGCATCAGCAGCCTCCTTTCGTTTATGCTTCTTATGCTTGTGCCTATGTTTATGCTTTTTGTCCTTATCTTCTTCTGAAGAATGTTTGTGTTTCTTATGTTTGCCTCTATGTTTGTGCTTCTTTTTTTTATGTCGGTTGTGCTTTGTCTGAGGTTGGTCACCTTCTGAAATATCTCCATTTTCTTCATTTGCACTTCTCTCAGAAATATCAGCCTCGTCAATACTATCAACATATAAAAAAGAATATTTCAGGGTCAAATAAAATACTACAATTCAACAGGAAAATTCCATTATGCTATTCATTCAGGGATCTAAACATAACCAAAATCTTTGAAACATTCACATTGTGGTCATAAATGGTACTGCACGATTGTGCTGTGCAGTATGGTTCTAATTACTGATATATAGTTGTGAAAAATGGGATATTGGCAATTAGTCTTAGACATCTTTCCATCAACAACTCCCATCCAGAAGATTATTTATAGTCCTTTTCTTTCATGCCAACTCTGCTTCTATTTACAGAGTCAGTTGTTTCAAGAAAATAGGACTCCTAAATACACATCCAGCCCTGCGAACAGACAAGCATCAGGCAACACTATGGAGTAGACATGGGAAACTTGGGCCCTGCAGGTGTTTTAGACTTCAACTCTGACAATTCCTAACAGCTGACTGTTAGGAATTGTGGGAGTTGAAGTCCAAAACACCTGCAGGGCCCAAGTTTGTCCATGCCTGATTTGAAGAGTGGGTGTTTTTATGTAAAGGGGGGGGGGGGTGAATACAAGGACAGGATTACATTTTAATGTTGACTGGCATAGGTGGGGAGCCAATTCTGGTCTGCTTTAAAAAGAAAATGGTACCTGAAGGTAAAGACAATTTGGGAAAAGAACTATGAAGTTATTACTTCTTATCTTACCCTTTGTGGGCAAGCTGAACAATTAGTTTACTACCTACACACTCTTTTTATAGTACCTAAGAAGAATTATGTTTTACTCCTGAACTGTCACGAACACCAAACATAATGTTTTCAAAGTAGAAATCATTCAGAGGAATTGAGAGTAGGGTAAGATGGGAGTATCAGAATATTTTAACTCTGATAATCTTTCAACCCTAACAATGTAAGATAATCTTGTGTAATCATTTTTTTTATAATTGTAATGAAGATATTAGTACTTATTTTTAAGTCAACTGTGGAGGAGGGGGGAGGATCCTCTTCCATCTTATTGAGTTGAAAATGCAGGCTTTTAGTCACTTAAGATCCCAACAACACTACCCTATATGAAGCAAGTAATGATATTCCTATCCCCTACTTGCACATGGTATTTCTCTATTTCTGTGTTTTCCAGACTGGTTTTCCAACTGTTTTGTTGGACTTCAGCTCCCGGATGCCAAAGCAGCTGAGGTTTCTCGAGTTGAAGTCCAAAAAACTTGGAGGACTAGAATTTAGGAAATACTGCCGTACTGGCTGAGAACCATCTCTCTTTTGCCTGTCCTTAAGACAGAAATCAAATGCGCTAGTGGAGAAACACTGCGCACTTTCCCTCACTTATATATTTGTTTTCTATAGTAACATGGAAATTTACGTAAACAGCTGCTTTTAGGGAACTGGTTTTACAGCCACACAAACATCCATGAGCCAAAACTATTGTAATGTTTTTATAACTTCTTTTTGTACTTATTTATTTATTTACAGTTCTTGTATTTATGTGCAGTTACTGTGTAGTATATGCTTTTAACTGCATATATAGAAGCCGCTACACACTTTTGTTAACATTTCAGCTCCATGGCATATGGCACACAAGATTAAGGTCAGTCCTTTGATTAGAAAATCTGGCTAATGACACTGATTTTAGTTCTGAACAACGCCAATACTGCTAATAAAACACAAATGTCATAAAAAGCATTTTTAGCAGTGCATGCCTATTCAAAAAATCAATTACCACATTATAAAAATAAAAGAGATTTTTAAACACAAGTAGTGCCCTGTCTGTAAAGAGTACTAAGTGAATATAAAGAATTATTCCATGCACTCTCAAGAGAATCCAAATTTCTAAATGCCATGATACTTAAGATTGTACAAGTCAAGTATCTATTATCTGCTAATCCAAAATGCTCCCAAGCTGTCAATACTACTGGTTGAGATGGTGACATTTTGCTTTCTGATGCTTCAATTTTTGTTTCATACACAAAATTATTAAATATTGTGTATAAGATAATCTTCATCATATTCATGTAATATGTACATAAATTATAAATGATTTTTTAGACCAGAAACTCATCCCATGATATCTCATGAATTATATGCAACTACACACAGTCCCTAAATTGCAAACATCAGATTTACAAGCAACTCCTACTTAAGCACAGGGGTGAGGAAACAGGAAGCGAGAGAAATCTATCCCTTCCACACAGTTGTATAAAATCCACATTGAACTGGATTATATGGCAGCGTGGATTCAAATAACCTAGTTCCAAGCAGATAATGTGGAGTATCTGCCTTGATATTCTGGGTTATATGGCTGTGTGGAAAGGCCCATAGAGAAAAGGAGTCTCCACTGAAGATTTATCTCCAATTCTTGTTTCCACAACAAGCCTAATTTTTCAAAATCAAATTATTACAGGGACAGAAAGTGGGGTGAAATCTTCTGAACAGGGGCACAGATAGGAAAACAAACACCACAGGGTTGTTAACCCTTTGCTACGGTATCCAAAGCTTTTATATGGCTGGAGTTACACTTTAAAAGTGTACCTGTTCTGAATTACATACAAATTCAACCTAATAATAATTCAACCTAATTCAACCTACAGAATCTATCTTCTTCCTAACTTGGGGACTGCCTGCATTCCAAAGTCCACTCCACTTCCAAACTGAAAACATTTCTGGTCCAAAGCATTTCAAATAATACCAAAAGCAAACCCTTTGTATCCAGGAGTTTAGTTCTAGGACCATCTCCTCAGGACGTCCTTCAACACAGCCCTATATCCCAGAATATAAAGGCAGAAAATCCCACATTATCTGAGTGTGGACACAGATAACCCAAAGCAGATATTGTGGGATTTTCTGCCTTGATATTCTGGGATATAGGACTGTGTGGAAGGTCCCAGGGAGATAGGGCAGAATACAGATAGTTTTTGTCAGTAAGTTTGCCAGTAAACTGGATTACTGTCGAGAAAGACTGCATGTCTAAAAAAAATGCGTCACCAAAATGAAAAGTTTTGAAACGCTCCGGTTTTCTGTTTACCCCAGATTATCTGGTAGCGGGGACTCATATAATCCAGTTTAAAGCAGACAACTGGGATAAGACCCTGCGATATAGGACCTGTCTCGAAGAGCTTTCAGGCCCCTTCCATGGGCCCTATACATTACCATATAAAATCCAGGTTATTTGCTTTGAAATTGATTATCTGGTAGTGTTGACTCAGATAATCCAGTACAAAGAAGATAATGTGGGTTTTCAACTTTGATAATCTGGATTATCTGGCAGTGTAGAAAGGGCCTACACTGCCATATAAGATCCGGAATATCTGCTTTAATAATCTGAATTACATGGAAGCGTAGAAGGGGCCTTGCTTAACTGGTACCCATGGAGATTGGTACATACTGCATAAAATTGCTTGAGAGTTAGGGCCCTTCCAGACAAGCCCTATATCCCAGGATATGATCCCGGGGGTTTTCTATTTATTCCAGATTATCTGGCAGGGCAGACTCTTATAATCCAGTTTAAAGAAGAAAACCTGGGATATAGGGCCTGCATGGAAAGGCCCTATCTGTTAAAAATAGACCTAACTAATATTATACATGCCATAACCTCTGTACCAACATAATAACATTGAAACAGAGGAAATAAAAGCAAATCGTGACAAATTTAACTAAAGGTAACACTTCTGCTGTTCTATTCTATTATAAAAACAGGTTATTTTCGATTTAAAATATTATTTCCCTTTTTTTGTGCTAGTTGTCTGAGTTCTGGTTAAGAGAGAGTCTACTGTACTGTAATTAGAATTTAAAAAACAATCCAGAGGTGGTATGAGAAAATGTCCCCACGCCTATAAATCTACAAACACGAAGGAAGACACTGCTAGTAGTTGCCAAACAAATTCCTCCCACGTAAATATGGGAGGGAAACTGTTACAGGTTTTATTATGTGGGGGGAGGGATAAGTAGCGGGAAAAACTATCTTCTGAGGCCCTTTCCACACAGTTGTATAAAATCCACATTGAACCAGATTATATGGCAGTGTGGATTTTGATGACCCAGTTCAAAGCAGATATTGTGCGCTATCTGCCTTGATATTCTTGATATTCTGGGTTATACGGCTGCGTAGAAGGGCCCTGAGGACCGTCTTACTCTGAAGGCCAGGCTCAGGCACTACTAGACCCAGCCAAGGCCGCCTCGCGACCACAATAACGGCTCTTCAGGCACGCGCTCCTTCCTTCCCTCCTTTTGTTCTTTCTACTCTTCCTCTCTCCCGCCTTGTCAAAGAAGGCCTAAAAGGACAACAGCGAGGCGTTTTTTTAGGAAGGAAAAACCTGGTCGGCCTTACCCAGAGCCCTGCAGTCCCAGCTCCACTACCGTCGCCGCGGCCATTTTGAACTTCCGAACGACTTCGCCGACGCCGCTGAAGAAAGTGGAGCGCGTGCGCGTGCGCGCGAGAGGAAGACAACGTCCGAGGAGACAGAACGAGGCAGTTAGCGTCAGGGGTGCCGGAAATGAAAACAAATCCTCGCGAGAATAGAAAGGGAAGGGAATCGCAAGGGTAATGGGCAACTCCGGCGAGACTTCAGTGACTGAAATAAACTTCCGGTTCCCAGTTGAATGTGAAGCTTCCAAAGCAGAATTACATTCGAGAAGATGAAATGCTTCTTCCCCGCATGTTACATTGCTCAAATGGGAACCGGAAGTGAGGAATAGAAATAGCACCGCTTGGTTCCTTTGTTCTCTAGTTAAACGCAAGCGGAAAAATGGAACATTCTGTTTTAGGGAACGTCTAAAAAGAGACACACGTTTCGAAGGGTCTAACTCCATGGCCCTTAGAGGCAGCAAAAACAAGAGGGCCTTATAACCCAGAATATCAAGGCAGGAACTCCACAATATCTGCTTTGTACTGGGTTATCTGAATCCACTGGAGGAATCCCAGGAGCATTGCAACACACCCAGATACCTGGGAGTCACTCTTGGACCGTGCTCTGACCTACAAGAAGCACTGCCTGAACATCAAGCAAAAAGTGGGTGCTAGAAACAATATCATACGAAAGCTGACTGGCACAACCTGGGGATCACAACCAGACACAGTGAAGACATCTGCCCTTGCGCTATGCTACTCTGCTGCTGAGTACGCATGCCCAGTGTGGAACACATCTCACCACACTAAAACAGTGGATGTGGCTCCTAATGAGACATGCCGCATTATCACGGGGTGTCTGCGCCCTACACCACTGGAGAAATTACACTGCTTAGCCGGTATTGCACCACCTGACATCCGCCGGGAAGTAGCAGCCAATAGTGAAAGGATCAAGGCAGTGACATCTCCAGATCATCCCTTGTTTGGGTATCAGCCAGCACGTCAACGACTTAAATCAAGAAATAGTTTTCTTAGATCTACAGAGACACTTGCTGGAACACCTGAGCAAGCGAGCGTCCAAAAGTGGCAGGCTCAAACCCAGCACCTCAATCCATGGGTGATACCAGATGAGAGACTCCCCCCTGGGCACACAGAAGACTGGGCGACTTGGAAGGCGCTGAACAGACTGCACTCTGGCACCACGAGATGCAGAGCCAACCTTAAGAAATGGGGCTACAAAGTTGAATCCACAACATGCAAGTGTGGAGAAGAGCAAACCACAAACCACCTGCTGCAATGCAACCTGAGCCCTGCTATATGCATAATGGAGGACCTCCTTGCGGCAACACCAGAGGCACTCCAAGTGGCCAGATACTGGTCAAAGGACATTTAATCAACTACCAAGTTTGCAAAATATGTGTTTTTTAAATCTGTTTGTTTGTTTTGTTCTGTTAGAAATGTAATACAATGATACGGTTGCTGATGACACGATAAATAAATAAATCTGAATCCACATTGCCATAGATTCCAGTTCTAAGCAGAAAATGTGGGATATCTTTCAGCTGTGTGAAAGGAGCCTGAGTGGGCTTCCAGAGAGACCCTATGGCCTTTCCACACAGCCCTATATCCCAGAATACCAAGGCAGAAAATTCCACAATATCTGCTTTGAACTGGATTATATGAGTCCACACTCAAATAATGTGGGATTTTCTGCCTTGATATTCTGGGATATAGGGCTGTGTGGAAGGGCCCTATGTCCCAGGATCTGATCACAGGTTTTCTGCTTTAAACTGGATTATATGAATCCACACTGCGAGATAATTTGGGATAAACAGAAAAGATCCTGGGATATAGGGCCTGTCTGGAAGCGCTCTTTGGGCCTTTCCACACGGTCCTATAACCCAGAATATCAAGGCAGACGATCCACAATATCTGTTTTGAACTGGATTTTTTGAGCCTACACTGCCATATAATCCAGATCAATGTGGATTTTATACAGCTGTCTGGAATGGACCTTAAAAAATCTGCCAGTAAATCTTGCAAATGTTTGTGCGGATTCCTCTGAAGCACAAAATTGTATCTGAGGTGACATATTATTATGCCAATGTTTGGAAGGGGAACAGTAATTAGGGAATCATCCCTCCACATTCACAATCATTATTTTGGTTTTCTTCGGCCCCTTCCTTCTTTAGTCCTGTAAACAATGGGAATACCATCCTGCAGTCCAGAACTGGAAATAGCTGATTTATCCCATGCATTCCAAGAAGGCTCAGAATAAACCCACTATCTAATTAATTCGCTACAAACCAGGGGTTTCCTGGTTTGTAGCGAATTTATTTGGGGCTGTCCAGAATGTTGTTGCTGGCAGAAAAAAGGAAATGCAAAGATACAGAATGGGGGATGCCTGGCTCCACAGCAGTACATATGAAAAAGATCTTGGGGTCCTCGTGGACAACAAGTTAAACATGAGCCAACAATGTGATGTGGTGGCAAAAAAAGACAATGGGATTTTGGCCTGCATCAATAGTAGATCCAGGGAAGTCATGCTACCCCTCTATTCTGTCTTGGTTAGACCACACCTGGAGTACTGTGTCGAATTCTAGGCACCACAATTGAAGGAGATATTGATAAACTGGAATGTGTCCAGAGGAGGGCGACTGAAATGATCAAGGGTTTGGAGAACAAGCCCTATGAGGAGCGGCTTAAAGAGCTGGGCATGTTTAGCCTGAAGAAGAGAAGGCTGAGAGGAGACATGATAGCCATGTATAAATATGTGAGGAGAAGTCACAGGGAAGAGGGATCAAGCTTGTTTTCTTGTGCCCTGGAGACTAGGACTTGGAACAATGGCTTCAAACAACAAGAAAGGAGATTCCATCTGAACATTAGGAAGAATGTCCTGACTGTGAGAGCAGTGCAGCAGTGGAACTCTCTACCCTGGAGTGTGGTGGAGGCTTCTTCTTTGGAGGCTTTTAAACAGAGGCTGGATGGCCATCTGTCAGGGGTGCTTTGAATGCAATTTTCCTGCTTCTTGGCAGGTTGGTTCCTCACCAAACTACAACTCCCAGGATCCCATAGTAATGAGTCTTGGTTGCTAAAGTGGTCCCAAACTGCATTAAGAGTTATAGTTCACTGTTGTCTGTCTCTATCTTCTATCTTCTATATATATAAAAATGCTCTGTGCATAATGAGTACCTTAAAAACAAAAGAACCAATGAACGAAATCACACCAAATTTGGCAGCAAAATGTCTCACGACACAAGGAGTGACCATCACTCAAAAATTATGATTTTGTCATTTGGGAGTTGTAGTTGTTGGGATTTATAGTTCAGCTACAATTAAAAGAGCATTCTGAACCCCACCAACAATGGAATTGAACCAAACTTGGCACACAGGACTCCCCTGACCAACGGATAACACTAGGAGGGTTTGGTTGGTAGTGTCCCTTGGTTTTGCAGTTGTAGTTCACCTACTTCCAGAGAGCACTGTGAACTCAAACAATGATGGATCTGGACCAAACTCTACACGAATACTCAATATACCCAAATGTGAACACCGGTGGAGTTTGGGGAAAATAGAATCTTGACATTTGGGAATTGTAGTTGCTGGGATTTATAGTTCACGTACAATCAAGGAGCATTCTGAACCCCACCAATGACAGAATTGGGGCAAACTTCCCACACAGAACCCTCCTGACCAACAGAAAATACTGTGTTTTCTGGTGGTCTTTGGTGACCCTTCGGACACCCCCTCGCAACCTCCCCCCAGGGGTCCCAAACCCCAGGTTGAGAAATGCTGCTTTAAGGCCATCCAGTCCAACACCCTTCACCAGAGCAAAAAAAATAAAGCCCTGCCGACAAAGAGCCATCCAGCCAGATATAGATCCGCATAGTCAAAGCCATGGTATTCCCTGTAGTAACCTACGGATGTGAGAGCTGGACCTTAGGGAAGGCTGAGCGAAGGAAGAGATGCTTTTGAGCTGTGGTGTTGGAGGAAAGTGCTGAGAGTGCCTTGGACTGCGAGAAGATCCAACCAGTCCATCCTCCAGGAAATAAAGCCCGACTGTTAACTGGAGGGAAGGATACTAGAGACAAAGTTGAAGTACTTTGGCCACATCATGAGGAGACAGGAAAGCCTAGAGAAGACAATTATGCTGGGGAAAGTGGAAGGAAAAAGGAAGAGGGGCCGACCAAGGGCAAGATGGATGGATGGCATCCTTGAAGTGACTGGACTGACCTTGAAGGAGCTGGGGGTGGTGACGGCTGACAGAGAGCTCTGGCGTGGGCTGGTCCATGAGGTCACGAAGAGTCGGAGATGACTGAACGAATGAACAACAAAAATATGATTCACACACACACACATATGCTTATGACAGATAATAGATTTGAAAGGGATCCCTAAAGAAGGACAATGATATGTTGCATGTTCCAGAGCAGGCAAACCAGACTCTCCACATCAACACTGGCAAAGAAACAGCAAGAAATACTGTTTACCCACAAGCATAAAGAAATTACATATATTAGAAACCAACACTTTCTCATTCCTTTATTTTCCAGATCACAGGACTGGGCCACAGCAATGTATGGAAGGGAACCCCTAGTTCAAAATAAAACCAATGAAGTCTTAACAGTCATGGCTATAGGGGGAAAAAAAACTCTGCTCCTTAATAAAGAAACTGCCTGAAATCCTTCTCTAGGCCCCTTCCACACAGCTGTATAAAATTCAACACTGTCTACTTTGAACTGGGTTATATGGCAGTGTGGACTCAGATAACCTAGTTCAAAGCAGATAGTGTGGATTACCTGCCTTGATATATTCTGAGTCATATGTATATGTGGAAGGGCCCCTAGAAGAATTTGCACATGCTCCCTTTGTGTCTCGGTGGGCGGGATCAATGCCATGTTTCCCTGGGATGTTGCAGCTGGCAAATGGGATTGGAGGAACGGAAGTGGAGAGCGACCAATGGGGGCCTTCCTAGACCTTCGCCCCTGCGAAGCAGAATGGAACATTCCACCCCCTCCCCCCCAGGCCAAGATTTGCAGAGGTCCTGCATCGCTCTCCTCTGCATCGCGCTCATTCATAGGCGGAGGATCTGAGATCGTTGGGTTAATATATTATTTTCCGCAGATCTCTTCGCCAAGGATAACTGAGGTATGTTTGTGTCTGTTCTTTCCTGGTTGCCCTTGAGATACGAAGGAGGAAGCAATGGCTGGGTTTTTCTCTTGGCTGGCCTTTGGGTAATAAAAGGCAGGCAGGGCCTGAACCATGCAATCTCATGTTGGGCTAAGCCTCTTACTCTTTACTTAAGATTTTCAAGCTCTGCTTGTTCCTCCACTAAAGGGGAAACTACATGTTTCTCATGGGCTTGATGAATGCAAGGCTGGGGTAAAAAATGCTGGAAGAAACATTAACAACCTTAGATATGCAGATGATACCACCTTGATGGCCGAAAGTGAGGAGGAGCTGAGGAGCCTTCTAATCAAGGTGAAAGAAGAAAGCGCAAAAGCTGGGTTGCAGTTCAACATCAAAAAAACCAAGATTATGGCAACAAGACTGATTGACAACTGGGAAATAGAGGGAGAAAATGTGGAGGTAATGACAGACGTTGTATTTCTAGGTGCAAAGATTACTGCAGATGCAGACTGCAGCCAGGAAATCAGAAGACACTTACTTCTTGGGAGGAGAGCAATGTCCAATCTCAATAAAATAGTAAAGAGTAGGGACATTTATTTATTTATAGTATTTATATACCACTTTTCTCCCCCCTAGGGGGACTCAAAGCGGTTTACACATAGATACTGGCAAAATTCAATGCCTTACAACTACAATATTAAAACCGCACATTAGATATAAATCATATTAAAAACAATACATCATCAAGCATCGAAACAGTTATTAAAACCATAAAATATCTCATCAGTTGAGTCGCCGTTCTAGTCCTTGTTCTGGTTCTCAACCTGGGGTCCCCAGATGTTTTTGGCCTACAACTCCCAGAAATCCCATCTAGTTTACCAGTTGTTAGGATTTCTGGGAGTTGTAGGCCAAGAACATCTGGGGACCCCAGGTTGAGAACCACTGCTTTAAAAAGCTGCATACATCTATTGTCTGAAGGCCTGGTCCCAGAACCATGATTTTAATTTTTTTCTAAAGGTCAGGAAAGAGGGAGCAGATCTTACCTCCTTTGAGAGTGTGTTCCATAGGCGAGGGGCCACAGCCGAGAAGGCCCTGCTTCTTATCCCCGCCAGCTGCATTTGCGCTGTTGATGGGAGTGAGAGCAGGGTCTCCCTGGATGATCTTAAGTTGCGAGGTGGCAGATGAGTTAGGACAAGTAAGCTGGGCCAGAACTGTATAGAGATTTATAGGTCAAAACCAGCACTTTGAATTGGTCTCGGAGATGGACTGGCAGCCAGTGGAGCTGGCATAGCAGGGGGGTGGTATGCTCCCTATATGCCGCCCTGCTTAGTAATCTGGCTGCTGCCTGTTGAACTAACTGACATCACACTGGCAACGAAGATCCGCATAGTCAAAGCAATGGTATTCCCCATAGTCCCCTATGGGTGTGAGAGCTGGACCATAGGGAAGATAGCGAAGGTAGATAGATGCTTTTGAACTGTGGTGTTGGAGGAAAGTTCTGAGCACCAGAAGATCCAACCAGTCCATACTTCAGGAAATAAAGCCCGGCTGCTCATTGGAGGGAAGGATATTAGAGGCAAAGATGAAGTATTTTGGCCACATAATGAGAGGACAGGAAAGCTTAGAGAAGACAACTATGCTGGAAAAAATGGAAGGAAAAAAGAAGAGGGGCCGACCAAGGGCAAGATGGATGGATGGTATCCTTGAAGTGACTGGATTGACCTTGAAGGAGCTGAGGGTGGTGACGGCCGACAGGGAGCTCTGGCGTGGGCTGGTCCACGAGGTTACAAGGGTCGGAAGCGACTGAGTGAATGTACAATAACAAGCATTGAATTTTGCTCTGTTAACCGCCTTGAGTCGCCTGCGGGCTGAGAAAGGCGGTATACAAATACAGTAAATAAATAAATGTTCCAGAAGCATTCTCTCCTGACGTTTCGCCCACATCTACGCCAGGCATCCTCAGAGGTTGTGGGTTCTGTTGGAAACTAGGCAAGGAGGTTTATATATCTGTGGAGTGTCCATGGTGGGAGAATAACTCTTGTCTGTTTGAGGCAGGTGTGAATGTTGCAATTGGCCCCCTTGATTAGCATTTAATGGCCTGCAGTTTCAAGGCCTTGCTGGTTGCTGCCTGGTATGATTATAATATTATTTACTTATTTATTTATTATTTGAACTGTGGTGTTGGAAGAAAGTTCTGAGAGTGCCTTGGACTGCGAGAAGATCCAATCAGTCCATACTTCTGGAAATAAAGCCCGACTGCTCATTGGAGGGAAGGATAGTAGAGGCCAAGATGAAGTACTGTGGCCACATAATGAGAAGAAAGGAAAGCTTGGAGAAGACAATTATGCTGGGGAAAGTGGAAGGAAAAAGGAAGAGGGGCCGACCAAGGGCAAGATGAATGGATGGCATCCTTGAAGTGACTGGATTGATCTTGAAGGAGCTGGGGTTGGTGATGACCAACAGGGAGCTCTGGCGTGGGCTGGTCCATGAGGTTACAAGAGTTGGAAACGACTGAATGAATGAACAACAACAAATTTTATTTACTGCATTTCTATGCCGACTTTCTCTGCCTGAAGGCGGGTACAGCTAGTGTATAATAAATATATATTATGAAACAATGGGAATTAAAACAAGCTATTATGTATGTGTTTCTGCTTCTGTTTATTTTAATTTAAATGATTTAAATTTAATTCTATCTTGCCTTTCTCCTGGTATAGGGACTTGAGGCAACTAGCAACAAATATGAAACAAATGGAAATCAAGACAAGCTACGTGCATTAAAACAAATATTTTTTTTTAAAAAACAGTTAAGCCATTTTTATAATGAAAACCATGAAACTTTTAACATATTAAAATGAATTAAACCTACACATCCACCCCCAAATCCCACTTCTAGATTTTTGTGTCTCTTCAGATTGTTTCCAATTTATGACAACCCTAATGTGAACCTCTCATGGGTGTTGCTTGGCAAGATTTGATCAGAGAGGGTTCACCTTTGCCTTCCTCTGCCATATCACCCAGTGTCAGAATTCAGATTAACTGCCTTGAACTGGATTATATGCCGATGTAACCTCATATAATCCAGTCCAATGCAGTTAATCTGCATTCTGAAACTGGATTATATGGCAGTGTAGATCCAGCCTGAGGTTTGGCATGAGTGTGACTCTCCCAAGATCAGCTAGTGGATTTCTATACACAGGGATTCAAACCCTGATCTCCAGGCTCATAGCCCAATGGTCACTACACCATGCTGGCTTTTCACAGTTTGGCTCTGTGTTAGTCTGTGACAGCAAAAATTATCACTGTAATAAATAGTAAATCTGCTAATATTGAAGGTGATGCTTGACTTGTTTGGTTTCATGATGTAATTGTAATGGTTTTGGGAGACAAAAGTAGCAATGGTTGATTTGTGAGCAACTGATTGACCTTAATACATCCTTGGTTGCTTTTTTAGATTATTATTTTCAAGAAATTATCCAAATAATTAAAAAAAATCTTCCTCTCATAGGTTCTGAAGATGAGTTTGATTCCTTCAGCTTTCAAAGTTCCAATTGTGTAAGAAAACAAACAAAAGGTAACATAGCAATTGCTCTTTTGACAGTGGTAGGCTTTTGAAATATCCCCAGCTTTGCAGGTCTGTTTATAAATCTGCAGGTGTGTTTATAAATTTAAAAAAATCATATTATCTGCTTTGAAATGGATTATATGGCAGTGCAGACTCATATAATCCAGTTCAAAGCAGATACTCTGGATAATGTATATTATATGGTAGTGTAGAAGGGGCCAAAAACCAACAGAAGTTGGATCTACATTCCCATACAATGCAGTTTGACCTGAATTATATGAGCAGTGTAGAGCCATATAATAAAGTTCAAACTGTAGAACCATCCTGGAATTGTACTCTTGACTTTTCATTGCTACATGAAGTACCTACTCTGATATGTAAATGTTTTACCTTTTCTTATAAGAGTTACAATTATTTTTAACAACAACACTGACAATTTTTTAAATTCCATGAAAATACTTGGACATGTAATTAAATGTTTAAAATTGAAATGTGAAAGGAACATATTTTAGCTCAAAAGAGAAGTGAATTTCATTTTAATTCTGTTTAAATTAGCAAAAAAAAAAAATCATGTTAGTGATCTATTGCTTTTTCAATCCAGCAGAAGCCCAGACTAAATTCACCATGTATATGCTGACTTATGGTTAAGACATCAAGAAAGAAGAGATAGCTTGTAAGTAATATTCAGGGTCTTTCTTTTCCATCTGTATGCCTTTCATGGGTTTTTTAAAAACCCTACATTAAAAAATGTTGAGTGTGTCTTTTTTAAAAACTTTAAGTTGTTAAAATTGTGCTTGATTTATCTGTTAAAACTTGGGATGGCAGAATTTAATAACTTTTCTGAGCGTAAGAGCATTGCACAATTCTGCAGAAGCATAACAGTTTTTCCCCAAAATGTTCTGAATGCACAAGAGTGTGAGAAATGATATTTGACATGTTCAATGTAACTTAGTGGAAGACATTCCTAGATTGAACATGTGTCTCTCCCATTCAGCTTCCTGATACAATAATTTCAGTTGAAAAACAAAAACAAGGACTGTGACTTAATAGTGCAACACGTCCTTCATGTAGCTTTCAAAGTCCAAATATGCCAATAGAAAATGTGGGAATAGAATTTTAGGACATAAAATGCCATTATATACACAAATATATTTCTTTTAGTATATTGGAAGCATAGGGAAATACAGTATAACCATAATATGCATGGGACCAGTATAACATCCACATCTAACAAAATATGCCCTATGTGTTGATGAAGGCTTTCATGGCCAGGATCACTGGGTTGCTGTGAGTTTTCCGGGCTGTGTGGGCATATTCCAGAGGCATTCTCTCCTGATGTTTTGCCCACATCTATGGCAGGCATCCTGAGAGATTGTGAGGTCTCAACCTTTGAGGATGCCTGCCATAGATGTGGGTGAAACGTCAGGAGAGAATGCTTCTGGTACATGGCCACACAGCATGGAAAATTCACAGCAACCCAAAATATGTCCTCTCTATGCATTTTCTATGTCCTCTGGTCCAACCTTTTGGTATTTCTAAGCCGTAGAGCCTTCATTTCAATAGAGTTGACTATTATCCATGTTTTTAAGTATCTACGTCAGGGGTCCTCAAACTTTTTTAAACAGAGGGCCGTCACAGTCCCTCAAAGTGTTGGAGGGCCGGATTATAATTTGAAAAAACGAATGAATTCCTATGCACACTGCACATATCTTATTTGTAGTGCAAAAAATGCTTAAAAACAATCGAATAATTAAAATGAAGAACAATTTTAACAAATATAAACTTATTACTATTTCAATGGAAATTGTGGGCCTACTTTTGGCTGATGAGATAGGATTGTTGTTGTTGTTGTTGTTTGCTTTCAAGTAGTTTCAGACTTAGGTTGACCCTGAGCAAGGGCCGGGAAAATGATCTTGGAGGGCCACATTCAGCCCCCGGGCCTTAGTTTGAGGACTCCTGATCTACATACTCCAGTAATATATTCCCCATGGATACAGGGATCATACTGTATTCAAGATGGCAAAGGATGAGAGTTTGAAGCTAATTGGAACATGTAAGGGGAGTTTCAGGCTGTTGTGGTTGGAAATTGATTTGTATGCTCTGCTGTGCTCATTGTGACCATATAATATAATATTTTAAACAGTTTGTACATTTCGACACAATGAGCCGCCGTGGCAACAACTGGGCCTATTCTGAGGTCATTGACCTCCTGGATATATGGGGAGAGGAAAAGATCCAGAAACTGCTTCTGAGCAGCTATAGAAATATGGACACATTCCAAGTCATTGCAAGTGAGATGGCAAAGCGGGGTCATGAACGTACTGCCCAGGAGTGCCGGACTAAGACGAAAACCATGAGAAGAGATTACAAGAAAGCCAAGGACAGTTTCTCCTCTGGGGGTGACTATATTTCTTGCCCATTCTATGATCAGCTTGATAGAATATTGGCTATTGAATCGAGTTTTCTGCTGCATAAGAAGGGACAAATCCCTCTGCCAGAGGAGTCATCGGGGGATACCAATTCCCCATGTCCCACAGCAGAGGGAGCAGTGCCTGTCGTGACTGAGGACTGCAATGACAGCCAAGACCAGCCTTCCCCATGTCCACAGATGAGCGTTGAACTCTCTGACTCTGCCACACCCAGCCCCATGGTTTACATGATGAAGCCAGCTTCTGGGAACCCTGCAAGCATGGCTTGGCCAACACCAAGTAAGAACGCCACTTTCTGTCTCTGAATTTATTTATTTATTTATTTATCATGTCAGAAGCGAACCAAGGGTACAATTGCAATGTATTTAAAAACACAAAGTTAAAAACTTAGCATTATACTAAATGTCATTTGACCAGAACCTGGCCACTTGGAGTGTCTCTGGTGTTGCTGCAAGAATGTCCAATATTGTGCATGTGGCAGAGCTCAGACTGCATTGTAGTAGGTGGTTTGTGGTTTGCTCTTCTCCACACCCGCATGTCATAGACTCCACTTTGTGACCCCATTTCTTAAGGTTGTCTCTGCATCTCGTGGTGCTAGAATGCAGTTTGTTCAGTGCCTTCCAAGTCGCCCAGTCTTCTTTGTACTCTCATTCGGTATCAGCCACTGATTAAGGTTTCAGGTTTTAACCTGTCTCTGAGTGTAACTTGCCTATTATCGTTACGATCTTTTGCACATTTAACTTTACACTTTGGGTCTATGCTGTTGTAACTAGTTTATGGATGGAAGTCTGTGTAAGACATAATAATAATAATAATAATAATAATAATAATAATAATAATAATAATGAAGTGTTGTGTGGTTTCTGGTCTGTATCCTCTGAAGATGCCAGCCACAGAGGCAGGTGAAATGTCAGGAGAAAATGCTGCTAGAACATGGCCATACAGACCAGAAACCACACAACACCCCAGTGATTCTGGCCGTGAAAGACTTTAACAACAACAATACGTTTCTTACCTGCCTCCCCTTGCAAGGCAAGGCGGGGTACAACATTGTTTAAACAAAGAGATAAACTCTGGGTTGTTGTAGGGTTTTCGGGCTGTCTGGCCATGTTCTAGAAGCATTCTCTCCTGACGTTACACCTTCATCCTTAGAGGTTGTGAGGTCAGTTGGAAACTATGCAAGTGAGTTCTTTCCCCCACCATGGACATTCCTCAGATATATAAACCACACCTGTCTATAGTTTCCAACAGACCTCACAACATCTGAGAATGCCTGCCATAGATGCAGGCAAAACGTCAGGAGAGAATGCTTCTAGAACATGGCTATACAGCCCGAAAAACCTACAACAACCCAGTGATTCCGGCCATGAAAGCCTTCGACAATACAGATAAAACTATTAAAATGCAAGATACCCATATTGGTACTTATATTGCAGGTTAAAATAATAATAACAATAAAATAAGGAAACTTTATTTATAGTCTGCTTTATCTCCCTGAAGGGACTCAGGGCAGATTCCAGTCACAAAAAAGGCAAACATTCAATGCCACAACATAAGAATTCATAGACAAATAATAACAAAAATAATTTAATTTTTTAAAAAAGCACTGAAAGCCATCCACTACTGGCTACCAGCCTCCTCCCAGTAGACTCAAATTAAGGAAAAGCTTCATGAGAGCCACCACTCCACTTAACGTCCCCCCAGCAACAACAAGAGTTTCCCTCTGGGCATCTAAACCAGTAAATCCCAATTGGATGGCCCCCCACAAAGGTCTTCTTCCAGGGGCAAACCAAGAATGGGCAACTTGGAAGTCCCTGTAAAGACTTAGAAGTGGAGTGGGCATATCAAAAGACAACCTGGCAAAATGGCACTACATAAAAGAATCCCACAACTCTGCATCTGTATGCTTGTCCACTATGCCCTGCCTCATGTACAGAGGAAGAATTGTTGGAGGCTACAGACAGTACCGTTGCTGTTGCCCGTTTTTGGTCAAAAGATATTTAGCCGCTTGTGCTCCTCCTATTTTTATCAGTTTTAATTTATGCAATGCTTTTGATATGAAATAAATATATAACAAGAATTAAACTCCACAGCATATAAAAACAAATTATAACTTAGCAAATTAGTATAAAATTTAAACAACCTATTATATCAGACATAAAATAAACATAAGACATAAAAACACAAAATTCACTTATAAATTCAGATAAAATTCACAACCTAAAATTGACTGGGTAGTCCTACCAGAAGAGATGGGTCTTCAGTTATGTCTCAAATTCCGACAGCTGATTTCACTGTATCTCTTCTGGCAGGTCATTCCACAGCCTTGGGACTTCTGATTAAAAAGTCCATTTATAATTTGCGTTTTCTTTTTTGCTCCTATTAGAAACTGATCATCCAACACCTTCCTTGTCATCTATATTTTCTAGCAGCTCATTAACCAAAGACTCAAGGATGGGTATGTTCTGCATTGTCTTTGTTCTGCTTGCTGTTGGCATGACTATGTTCCTTTCCATTTCATTGCAATTAGTGCCTTAAAAAAATACTGTTTTTCATCTCTTCAGATTCTGCTCTCGGACCCTCACCATCTCTGCTGGGTAACTATGTGAATCTTCCTTCCGAAGACCGCCTATCCAGAGTCCGAAAACGGCAGAGGAAAATCAGGGGTGATTTGGTCATGGAGCTCTCACGGATAGCAGACCGGAGAGCCCACACAGTGACTGAGAGGATCCTGTCGTCTCTGAACAGGTACGCTGCAGCTGACATGCAAGACCGGGAGAGAGACCGGGCGGACACTGCACAAATAATCGCGATCATGCAGCGCCAGACGGAACTGCTGGAGTCACTGGTGCAGATGCAGTCCACGGAACAGACCCCAGCACCCCCTGCCCCTTCCTGGCACGCTCGTCCGCGCCCTGCAATCTCTCCTCCCTCCCGCCCAGGTGTCCCACGGCGGACACTAGTCGCCAGGGTGAATCACAGGAGGAAGCAACAGAAGTTCAACCCTTAACTGTGCTTTTGCTTTGTGGTTCTTGAAATACTGGGTTTGACCATTCAGACTGTTGACTCTACCCGTTTTGCCTTTTGTTTAATATTTCTTAATTGACAGATGTATACTCCCTGGTTTAATTTCAAATGATCAACTAACATCAAGGAGAAAAGTACAAAGACACTGGTTGGAGATCAGTTTCTCCTTTGTCGTCTTTTGATAGATGGGATTAACATTCCTCTTCCCCTTTTTCCTCTGATACTGTCTATAATATGATATGAGATAACAGCAAGCATATATTCAGAACTAATGGTAATTTGTGATAGTTGAAGTATAGAGAAGAAAAATCTTTACTGTCGAGAGATTTTTGAGTATTTCTGAACATCAATGTACTGTTTGGACTTGGTATTCAGCAATGGGTATAAAATAGGAGGAAAATATGTCACTTTCATCTGAATTTAGTTTTGTTTTTGATGTGAAGTTCATAGAAATAGATAATTTTACCATTCTCTGCTACAAGCATGACTTTCACAATATGTGGTGTGGGCATGTGAGGGGCAGGTGTGTATTGATGTCAATGGTGCAGAGGAACTTAAAACCATGGTGCAGACCAGGGATTGAGAAGGTTACTTTTTTGGACAACTCTCAGTCCTCTTCTACACTGCCATATAATCCAGATTATCAAAGCAGATAATCTATATTATCAAAGCAGATAATCCATGTTATCTGCTTTGAACTGGATTATATGAGTCTACGCTGCCATATAATTCAGTTTAAAGCAGATAATCTGGATTTTATATGGCAGTATAGAAGGGGCCTCATAATCCTTCCATCTGCAGTGGCCATAGTGGCAGGGGATTCTGGCATTTGTAGTCCTTAAAAATGATGTTTCCAGCTCTATCCAGCCCTGCCCTTGCCATTTATGCTGCAGAGATGAAGAGCCATAGAAAAAGAAACCACAGGAAGATAAAGAGTGATGAAGAAGTTTGAGGAAGAAGAAGACGCAACTCCTCAATTCATCGTTGAAGGTCTATTCTTCCTAGATTAGAAAAAAGTGAGTATTAGATATGTGTAAAAGAGGTAGTAAAGCCTTACTTGGGGTGAGATGAGATAGCATTGGATAGTGAGGACAAAAATAAAACTTGGCCTGTTTACATAGCCATATAAGCCATAATATCAAGGCAGAAAATCCCTCAATATCTGCTTTGAACTGGGTTGTCTGAGTCCAAACTGCCATACATTCCAGTTCAAAAGCAGATAATGTGGGATTTTATTCAGCTGTGTGGAAGGGACCTGAGAGAAATGAAGAGCTTTAATTATTGCAATTAAAGGCTTTGTGCTGGTATGGAGATGAAGAGGGAATGAGCAAGGAATGCAGCGTGGAGGGAAAGGTGCTATCAGAATAGCTCAAGCAAGAATTCCCTTAGGTTATTTCTGGGAATTGCTAGTGTTTGGGTGAGAGGTATGCCTAGTTTGTGTGTTTTTTGTTTGTTTTGGTTGCTTCTGGGCAACAGTTATCGCAGCAACAGTAGCTCTGTTTAGGAAATAGAGAAACAAAGGATGAGCGGCACCAACCAAAGCGTAGGACTGGCTTTAGTTGTTCTTTATATCATATTTGCAGAATGAATATTGCTAATTGGGTTGGTTTGTTTGGACAAGAAGAGTAAAATACAAGGATTGACATAATTTACCTCTGGGCTGTCAACGTCACCTGCACCACTTGAACATGCCTATCATCCTGAAATGCAAGAAAATAGAACCCCATATAAGATGAAATCAAGCAGTATAATGGGCATAGCACCGGGTTAGGAAGGTTGTTGACACCTAGAAATAAACTGTCTTTCCAAATATAAAATGTTGCTTTGAAAAAACTTGGTTCTTGGTGTCTTCAATAAGAAGATGAATCATGATGGGCAAGTATTTCCTGAAACACAAGTTTACCAATACTGTCAAAAATTCCCAGCAATCTGTAGGCACAGCAGAGTGCTGCATATGTTCCCAGCTCATGATTCTCCATATTTTGCCCCAGAGATGGTTTGAACATCATTCCTGGAATATTTTACCATGGCTGGGACTTCTGGGAGTTGATCTACCATATCTATTAAAATCAAAGGTTGAGAACTATTGTCCTAGTTGGATGTAACCTTGTATCATCACATGGAGCAAGGGAAAGGACTAGCAACCTGGTCAGTTTCCCAAGTGGACTGCATAACTAAGTTGTTTTAGAGCAGAGGTTCTCAACCTGTGGGTCCCCAGGTGTTTTGGCTTACAACTCCCAGAAATCCCAGCCAGTTTACCAGCGGTTAGGATTTCTGCGAGTTGAAGGCCAAAACATCTGGGGACCCACAGGTTGAGATCAACTGTTTTAGAGGAATGAGGAATCTTTGGACCTAAGAATGTTTTGAAGTACAGCTTACTGTTGGCCGTGTTGACTGGAGCTGATTAGAAGTACAGGCCAGGTCCTCTCAAGGTTGACATAATCATTAAAAATATTTAAAAGCAGATAAGCCAGTGTAGAAAAGATTCTCAAAGGAAGCAAGTTGGACTGGAGGAAGTAAACTATGAATTATTTAATGAATTGTTAAGGACAACAAATCAAATAAGCACTTGTGGGGAGACATATCAAATCAGAAATGACCAAAGTATGGGCTGTGGGCCCTGTTTGGCTTCTGGAGCTTCCTTTTCCACAGCCCTTAGTCACCCTTGATATCTCCTTCCTCAAATTTTCCTAATTAAAAATGACTATTTACTTTCCTAGAAACCTCTACTAGCAACTCTTTCCCCATTATACAAGGTGCATGCTTCCCTGTGCTTTGTTCCCACCTCCATCTTTTAGCTCCCTCCCCCAAGGATTTGTATTGTTAGTTTTGATTTTATTTTGTGGGTTTTTTTGGTGGACCATTGAGACCTGTGAGATGTTCTTGAGGATGAAACTTGGCCTACAGATCGCCAGAGTTTGCTGTTCTTCTTACAAGAATGTTATTTTGATCTTCCAAAAAATGATAATAGGGCACTTGTTATGGTCTTGATGACAACATGAGTCAGAACTTTTAGCAAGTTCCTTCCAAGGATTATGTTTGTTAAGAAATGTATAGTTTTGCTAAAATATTCTAATTTAGAGTTGTACTTTTGTTCTTTTTGAACAGTAAACACTAGTTTCTTTATTTGCCTGTATTATAAAGTGTGATAAAACATATGTTTTAACCCACATTTTGTCTCCCTCTTTTTCTTTGTAAACTGTAAGATGCTTACGTAAAGAGAAAATCATCATCACCTGTTGGAAGTGGCATAAGTAGGGTTAGTATTTTCCTGAATTATTCTGTGCTGGCAGTCCCTGAGTTACAAACATACAACTTGCATACAACACCTAGTTATAAACAGGAGTGAGACAACAGGAAGTGAGAGGAAATTATCCCAGAAGAGGAAATTCACACTTGGAACATACAGAACCTATCTTTTTCATCACCTGGGAATTGCCTATACTCGATTCTCTTTGTATCCTTTAGCAACAGAACACAAGACAGGCACAGGAAAAGTAGGCAGTCCCCAAGTTACAGACAAGATAGGTTCTGTAGGTTTGTTCTTAAGTTGAATTTGTATGTAAGTCAGAACCGCTATTGTGAACCGCTCTGAGTCTCTCTGAGGGCTGAGGAGAGCGGTATACAAATATAGTAAATAAATAAACAAATATTTTAAAAGTTAACTGCAGTCAAAAATACATATCTTTTAGCTTTGAATAGGGTAGGGAAGGGATAACACCCCTGTGGAGTTTGCTATCTGTACCTCTGTTCAGAAGATTTCAGTTTCTGTCCCTGTGGTAATGGATTTTGAAAAATTTGTCTTGTGGAAACAAGAATTGGTGATAAAGCTTCTGTGGATTTCTCTCTTACTTCCTGTTGTCTCATCTCTGATCTTAACTCTGAGTTGTTTGTAGTTGGATGTTTGTAACTCAGGGACTGCCTGTATACAGATACAATTGGGGAGGCGGGGGGGAGAAAATAATAAATAAGCTGGTTTGGTCTGTTTATTTAGTGCCATGTGGAAGAAAACCCTGTGACTTTTAGCAATCTACATAACTTCAGTTGCCCAAAGTACCTAGATCAGGGCCTTAGACCTCCTGGCTATAAAGAAGGAGCAGATGAATTGTGAAAGTCTGTAGTTAAGTCAGGCACAGCAGTAGTATTGTGTGATCCTTGCATTTTTCTCTTGTATTTTCTTTCTTTTTTGTTGAAGAAGTGATATTTTCGAGGTCATAAAGGGATATTTTTACCACATTGTGGAACAGGGAACTCTTTCTTTTCCACTTTTTGTTTACCAGTTCGTGCGACTGAATTCAGAAGTCAGCAATGTGCAGAGTTGGAAGCATGTGATAGTCAGTGCGCCATTCAGGCCACATTTAGGACAGGATGACTCTTAATCAGTTTTGGGGGTTTCGTGATACATAATCACAAGAGATTAAAGCAATAATCTGATTGCTGTGTTGTTTTGAATACTAAAAATTGAAGGAGGGGAAGAAGAATTGCATTAAAAAGAGGACTGGGTCTGAAAGGGTGGTTTGGACGCTTTTGAAAATAGCAGCTCCAACCAAGAATTGATGATGTTTGCACATGAGGCCAAAGCCCCAACAGGGCATCCAAATGACCCTGGAATTTTTACATATTCACCTGGCATTTCTGAGTGCAAAAGTAAAAAGAAGGAAGAGATAGGACAACTCCAATTAACTTGTCATACCCACTTGTTTCATCATCACCATCCTTTATTTATACCCTGCCTTCTCTCCCAGATGCAGACTCCAGCATTTATTTGGTCCTGTTAATACCAGATAGAAGTGACTTACTTGGTAGTTTGGTAGTTTATATCCTGTTGTTTCCCCCAAGTTTGGGAAAAGCCAGGGAGGTGGGGCCCACCTTTTATCGTGTCAGAAATGAATTGAGAATATACTGGAAGTCGCTTCTGGTGTGGGGGAAGAAGCTGTCCACAAGGAGGTTGCCTAGGGGACGCCCAGATGTGTTGCCATCCTGTGGGAAGCTTCTCTCATGTCCCCGCATGGGAAGTTGGGGCTGACAGTTGGAGCTCACCCTGTCTCGCGGATTCAAGCCACCAACCTTCAGGTCAGCAGTTCAGCCGGCACACATGTTTAACCCATTGCACCACTGTTCTTCATTATAGAAACAGCCACTAAGAAGGCCTTTCTTGTCTTTCCACCAAACCATGAAGGTAGCGGGACTGGATTTTGCAGTCCAAGCAGGCTTGTATGGGGGCATAGGGTCTATCCAATAGCCTCGATTCAGCCATATAGAGCTTTATCGGTCATCACTAGCACCTTGAATTGTGACTGAGTGGAAGA